GCAGAAGCACCTCGCAAAGGAAGAGAAAGTCAAGGAGGAGGACAGCAGAGCTTGCAAGAAAGCTCAGGCAGAGAAGACTAAGATTGCCAAAAAAAAGGAAGCAGACAAAAAATGGCACACAAAGTTAGAGGAAGCCACACAAGTGGGTGAAAACGAAAAGGACAGTAAGGTCAAGAAGATGCTGGCCTTGGTCAGCAAAGGAGTGGCTGATTTGAAGAAGGCTTGCAAGAAAGCCAAAGATGCCAGCTGGGGTGCAGATGTCCTGCAAGCTCTCATCAAATCTAGAGACAGCTTGGAAGATTTGGCAACAGATGGTGAGCTGGAAGGCATCAAGAACCACTTGCTGGAAGCAGCATCAGCTCTGAAGGCTTTCAAGAAATTGCTCACTGCCTAGGATTGGCCTGAAAGAAGGCCTGGGACATGGCCACTTTTGCCTTGACTTGCGACAGCATGGTTGCCCCGCAAAAAAAATAAGCAGCTTGCATGCCCAGCCCCCAGGCAGCTTTTTTTGGGTAAAGAGGTTCACCTGTAAGATACATGCATGCTGCAGCTGTTTTTAATGGCTCAAGGTCATGCCAGGCATCCATCAGAAAATAGAATTAACAAACACTAGGAAAAGACCAGCTCCAGGCCTGAAAGAAGGCCAGGCTCTAAGCAAGAAACTTTTGCAACTTTGGTCCCTGGGGAAATTAAGTAGCTCAGGGCTCCAAGAAATCGCTTTTGCAGCCACTGCAGATGGCTTGCAATGTGAGAGCATAGTGGAATTGAGCGGCTTAGGAACCTTTGGTCAATACCCAAGCAATTGCCATAGAGACCTTGTAAGGCTATTAAGGGCTAGGTTGAAAAAGTCCATGCACGGGGGCTTGCAAGAAAGCCCAACAATTTCCATTCAGGTTCCTGCCTTGGATGCCAAAGAAGAAAATCCAGAGACCAAGGCAGCATGCCACATTGTACTGCCACATTTGCTGGTTTGGCAATTATTCAGCAGCTATCCTAAGTTGGCTCCTTCGCTTTTTGGCCTTCACAAGTTGAAAGCTTTCTGGGGAAACTTGAAAAGCAATGACCCCAGGCTGTGGGACAGTGGCTTGAAAGAAAGCCAAAAACACAAAACCATCCCTCTCTGGCTTCATGGAGATGGTGTCGAATTTTCCACAGACTCCTTAATGACATTCACCTGGGGACCCACGCTTTATGCTCCTCAAGGCCTGAAAGAAGGCGCAAGGGAAATGCATCCCAGCCACCCCATGGATAGTTCTTTCCTCATAACTGCATGGCCAAAGTCAGCAGCTGCTTCCAACACATGGGTGGAAATCCATGAGGTCATGGCTTGGAGCTTCACTGCTCTTTTCCAAGGTTTTCACCCAGACGTGGATTGGAAAGGGAGGCCACTGCCAACAAATTTGAAAAGGCTTGCAAGAAAGCCAATTACACCTGAGGGGCATTCCTTCTGGGTGTTCAATTTTTTAGGCGATTTGGAATACTATGCAAATCACCTAGGTTTCCCCCATTGGCAAAGCAAAAAATTTTGCTGGCTCTGTGATTGTGAGAAAGGAAACCATCTGAAAAACCCTTTTGATTTCACCTCTGAACCTGGATGGGAAATGAAATCTTTGGAAGGCTTGAAAGAAAGCCCTTGCACCAACCACACTCTGTTCAAAATCCCTGGTGGCCTACCAGAATACAGAGTGTGCTTCGATGTCTTGCACACTTTAGATTTAGGTGTGACTGCCAGGTTGGCAGGCTCCATCCTACATGCCTGGGCATATCCACCTGGATCCAAAAAAGAGGTTGGGCCTGGCAACACTGCCAAAATATGGGCACTACTCAAAGAAGCATACGCAGAATTGCACATCACAGAGAAGTACAACAACCTCGTGGTTTCTATGTTTACTTCTGAAAGAAACCCATTTTCACAGCCAGCAAAGCTCAAAGGCCATGCAGGAGAGATTCGACATCTCATGCCAGCATTAGCCATGGTGGCCTGGAAGAAGGCCAGTGAATGTGAGGCTTTTGCCCACATGGCTGAATGCTGCCACCAAATGGCAAATTTCTATGCCATCATTTCAGAAGATGATTTTTTCATGAAGGACAGCACAAAAGCTGAGAAGTGCTTGAAAGAAAGCATGCAGCATTACATTTGGTTGCACCGCCATTTTGGAGATGAAGTCAGATTCACATTGACGCCTAAATGCCACTATGTGGCACACATTGCTTTGATGCTGCATTTCCAAAACCCAGCTACCTGCTGGACATACAAGCAAGAATCATTCATGGGATACATTGCAACCTTGGGCCACAGCTGCTCACATGGAACCAGAGCTTCGAGAATCAGTGAATCTTTCATCACAAAGTACACCATGGCTGTGCAGCTCAGAATCAATGAAATAATTTAGAGGCTTGAAAGAAAGCCAAGCCTGGAATGCTGCTGTAGACATGGCTTCAAAGAAAGCCCTGACACCTTCAGCTTGTCAAAGAAAAAGCTTTGCCAAGATCAATATCGATCAATATCGATCAATATAATTTTCAATATTTTCCATCAATTTTAATCAATCTTGATCAATCTCAAGATCAATATAGGATTGATCATGGTATTGATTTTTGAGGTCCCAACATGTGCCATTTTCAATATTATTGAAAATGTTTTTTTTTCAATACAGGGATTGAAGTTTTTCAATATCGGATCCTCAGGGCACTTCCCTTCCTCACCACTTCACATCGTCACCACTTCCCATCGTCACCACTTCCCTTCGTCACCATTCCCCTTCATCATCACTTCCCTTCGTCACCACTTCCCTTCGTCACCACTTCCCATCGTCACCACTTCCCTTCGTCACCACCCCGTCATTGTCACCACCCTTCATCAAGGTCAATTCCACCGCTTCTTATTCTTGTGTTATGTATTGTTATGTTTTGTATTGTTATGTGATCTACCACCCTTCATCAAGGTCAATTCCACCGCTTGTTATTCTTTTGTTGTGTATTGTTATGCTATGTATTGTTATGTGATCTACCACCCTTCATCAAGGTCAATTCCACCGCTTCTTATTCTTTTGTTGTGTATTGTTATGCTATGTATTGTTATGTGATCTACCACCCTTCATCAAGGTCAATTCCACCGCTTGTTATTCTTTTGTTGTGTATTGTTATGCTATGTATTGTTATGTGATCTACCACCCTTCATCAAGGTCAATTCCACCGCTTGTTATTCTTTTGTTGTGTATTGTTATGCTATGTATTGTTATGTGATCTACCACCCTTCATCAAGGTCAATTCCACCGCTTCTTATTCTTTTGTTGTGTATTGTTATGCTATGTATTGTTAGATCACGTACCACCCTTCATCATAGTCAATTCCATCAAGTAAAAGTCATTCGTAACTCGGAAGTATTGCTTCCCAACTTCCTTTGATTACCATATATAGACATCATCGAATTCACCAGCGAAGAGGTCGTGGACCTCCGCGCCAAGCCACCTTGCCCTGGGGATGCCCTTTTCCATCGGGCCGGGAGCCATAGGTTGTCGGTCCCATAGGTTGCATCCGAAAACTGTTCGATGCGACGAGGCTAGAGTCATCCCAGTGTTCAAAATAGGGGTTTTACGAACCAAAAACAGTGGTAACTCACATCGTGAAATGGTGGTAACTTGCTTTTCTTGTTTTTGTTGCTTAGTATCTGTGCCATCTTAACATGCCGACGATTTTATGATGACAGAATTACGCACTTGCTACCGACATGGGGATGTCACCATGAATCAGTGGGTATTTGATGACCCACGCCCATCACCACGTCATTTTGTTTGCCCTGTGGATTGTCCCGTGGAAACCTTCATATCCCCAATGTCAATGTCTCTCAAGTGAATGGTGAAGGATGCAGCTTGAAATTCAGTGGTTCCTGTACTGGTCTGGAGGTGTACCGGATGGTTTCACACCAACTTCCTGTGAGGAAAGGTGGAAAACTCCGGCTGCATCACCTTAACTCACCGCTGATCCTGCACAAAGCTTTGCAGGAGCAAGGCATTGTGGGCAAAGCTGCAACACTCTCTTGCACTTATGTTCCAAACGGTCTCTATGTTGCGTGGCGCGCTGTCCAAGGCCAAGGATTGCCAGTCTCCGAGGCAGAGCTTGCCATTGGAGGGAGTGACCCCGATAGTAGGTGCAAACCACCTCCAAAAAGACCTTGAAGGTCTTGGGCTAGCCGACGATGTCATTCAGAACCTGAGCCTGGAAAGAGTGCCTTTGCCAAGCAGTCTTCACATTTTGACATTCGGCCACAGTTTCAATCAGAGCTTGCAAGGAGTGACGCTACCAAGCCGTCTTCAGAGCTTGACATTTGAAAGACTTTAACCAGAACCTGAACGGAGTTACTCTGCCAAACAGTCTTCAGAGCTTGACATTCAGTGACGAATTTAATCAGAGCCTGGAAGGAGTGACTCTGCCGAACAGTCTTCGGAGCCTAACATTTGGCTGTCCGTTTCATCAGAACCTAGAACAAGTGACCCTGCCAAGCAGACCTTGACTTTTGGCAACGGGTTTAACCAGAACCTGAAACGAGTGAACCTGCCTAGCAGTCTCCAAAACTTAGCATTCGATTACAACTTCAATCAGAGCCTCGAACGAGTGATCCTGCCAAGCAGTCTTCACATTTGGCTTTATGTTTAATCAGAGCCTGGAAGGAGTGAATCTGCCGAACAGTCTTCAGAGCTTGACATTCGGCGACAAATTTAATCAGAGACTGGAAGGAGTGACTCTGCCAAGCAGGCTGCAGAGCAGACTGGGCATTGAATTCAAGCAGAAGCTTCAAGGATTGGTTTTGCCAAGTGCTCTGGTTAATATATGGTTAATGATGGTTAATGATGGTGACATCATAACCATATATTAACTATCAATTAACCATATATTAACCATCATTATGATTTACCATCATTTACCAGTGCGGGCTAGTCTTGGTGAGTGCTTCATGTGCCTCCAATCCTTCGCATCTGGCGAAACTGGGAGTCACCGTCATGGATCTCCTTGGTCGGTTCGGAGCTTCGGATTCCTCCATGACTCGTGCCAGCCATCTTCGGACGTTGAAGCAATTGTTGCTGTATGGACATCTGGAATCTCATTGGCCCACATTTTGATCAAGTACACATGATAGTATAGTAATATATAGTAATAATAGCATATTGAATCATTAAATCGTACACTACGTGGACTAATAGCAAGTAGTGACCCAATAGATCAAAAACAATTTTTCATTGCGCTAGTAGTACGCTAATAAAACAACTAATAGATTTAATAGATGCTAATTGTACATGAACAGTGACCGAATAGATCACAGATAGTAGGATCAGATAGAACTAGACTAGTAGTAGTGACATGTAGTGACTAATAATACACGAATAGTTCACTGATGGTGCGCTGATAGATCACTTAAATAGAAGAATAGTTACACTAACTCACTGTACATCAGGAGTACACTAATAGAACACAAATCACTTGTAGTAATTGTAGTACTACAAAAGAAACTATGTAAACATGGTAGATTCATGCACACTAATAGTATAGTGCAGTGCATTTGATATGCATTAATAGTACACTCATAGTGTAAGTTAATGCTTTTGATAGTACAAACAAATCTAGTATTTACAAACATGTTGTATTTCATGTGTATTGATAGTAGAAAGAAATAGTGCAATGATGGCTTTATCCATCGATTCCATCGACTCCATCGATCTCGAGGTCTCCTTCTTCAATCATTGCTGCGCGGGGCTTTCGAACGCGACCTGGACCTGGAGACCCGGCCGATGATTTTTTGGGTGGGCTTGGGAGAAGCCCCGATCCAAATGGAGGTTTATACCTGGGACATAAATCAAAAAAGGGGATGTTCCAGCCATGCTTGGACGGTGGGGACCCATCGAAATTCACTCGACATGGTAAGTGGTTGAAATTCCAATGTGGAGTTTCTGGCGTACTACGATCACCATCCCACTTTGGTAAATCTTCATAAGCAGTCAAACGTTATGAATATATATATATATAGTATATAGTAATATATATATATATGGTATAGTAATATGTATGTATATGACCATTTGTCAAAAATAGTTGTTTAGAAGTTTAGTATTGGTTGTTGATAATTCATCTGGGTCTACTGTTTTTTCCTCTTCGTTATGAGGCGGCACGCAACTAAATTCAGCAATTCTGCAAGGCAGCGCTAGCAAACCCGCTAGGTTTGCGCTAGGTTTGATTGACAGCCATGGCCTCCATCTCGTGAATGTCTTGCCAGCTTTTCTTCCAAGTCTGTCAGTTTCCACATATTCCCAAATTTTCGATTTTTTTTACGTATTTTACGCGCTAGATCGCCGCTAGCAACGCGCTAGCGAAAATTGCAAATACATGCCCCGGTCCACCCGCAGCCCATTCAGAGGCACAGCCATGTTCACGCTTTGGTAGCTTACAGTAAGGAAACAGCGTTGATCAGGAGGCATGTCAAGAAGCATATTGCATTCAGAGAGGCACACACACACAGAGACACACAGTTCAGGAGATAATACCAGCGACAGCGAATGAAAACCGACGTGCGTTAGCCAATTCCTGTGGTTTTAGAAAGATTTCCAAAGGTAACGAAGAATTTCCACGTTTTCACGTCATCAAGGTAGGTCATGTTTTTTAAAGGCAAACATGAGGCGGCATGCATGGAATTGCGATTTATCAACAAAACCGGGAACAGACATTTTGACAAACCGTCATATATATATATAGTATAGTAATATATATACAGTCATATAGTAATAGAGTAATAGAGTAATATAGTAATATAGTAATATAGTAGTATAGTAATATATATATAATAGTATAATAATACATATATGTATATATACGCATTATTTTTGGGAATCTATCCCATGTACAAGTGGGTGAAGTAAACATGGTAGTCTCCACGCCATGAGACGGGCGCTCTGAGGAGCCTTGCTGATGGTTTGACGGTGAAAACCAGCCGCAAAGTGCTGGCTGGAGAGGAGCTGCGAAACAACATGCCAGTCGGTAGCTGGTGAGTATGGTTAGTAAGTACCCAACTATTATGGTTAGTATGGTTAGTAAGTATGGTTAATATGCTTAGTAAGTATGGTTAGTATGGTTATCAAGGGATCATCTCAATTCTTGGGGACTTAAGATTGCCAGGCTTAGGATCAGCAGTTTACGATGGGATGATCCTCCAAGTAGGTGGCCAAAAAAAGGTATGCCGATGTCACAGGGTGAGTAGATCCTGAGGAAAACACTCGTGGATTTCCAATACAAAAGTGTTTAAAATTACCCAAGGGCTTCAACAGTCCAATGTGGCTGGAAAATCACCAGAACCCTCGAGATCTTCGATGATTATCCCATCAAGATCTCGATCTAGTTTGGCTGGATTTTCCAGCCAGCCACGTTTGATTACCAAAGAATAAGCCCCTTTTGATATGCAAATCACATCCCAATTAAATCCCAAACAAAATCATTATAAACCATCTATTGATCTCTATTAAGGTAATTGAATCCGAAACAAAATCATGATGAAATCCCAAACTAAATCTCAAACTAAATCTCAAACTAAATCCCAAACTAAATCCCAAACTAAATCCCAAACTAAATCCCAAACTAAATCCCAAACTAAATCCCAAACTAAATCCCAAACTAAATCCCAAACTAAATCCCAAACTAAATCCCAAACTAAATCCCAAATTAAATCCCAAACTAAATCCCAAACTAAATCCCAAACTAAATCCCAAACCAAATCCCAAACTAAATCCCAAACTAAATCCCAAACTAAATCCCAAACTAAATCCCAAACTAAATCCCAAACTAAATCCCAAACTAAATCCCAAACTAAATCCCAAACTAAATCCCAAACTAAATCCCAAACTAAATCCCAAACTAAATCCCAAACTAAATCCCAAACTAAATCCCAAACTAAATCCCAAATTAAATCCCAAACTAAATCCCAAACTAAATCCCAAACTAAATCCCAAACCAAATCCCAAACTAAATCCCAAACTAAATCCCAAACTAAATCCCAAACTGAATCCCAAACTAAATCCCAAACTAAATCCCAAGCTAAATCCCAAACTAAATCCCAAACTAAATCCCAAACTAAATCCCAAACTAAATCCCAAACTAAATCCCAAACTAAATCCCAAACTAAATCCCAAACTAAATCCCAAACTAAATCCCAAACTAAATCCCAGACTAAATCCCAAACTAAATCCCAAACTAAATCCCAAACTAAATCCCAAACTAAATCCCAAACTAAATCCCAAACTAAATCCCAAACTAAATCCCAAACTAAATCCCAAACTAAATCCCAAACTAAATCCCAAACTAAATCCCAAACTAAATCCCAAACTAAATCCCAAACTAAATCCCAAACTAAATCCCAAACTAAATCCCAAACTAAATCCCAGACTAAATCCCAAACTAAATCCCAAACTAAATCCCAAACTAAATCCCAAACTAAATCCCAAACTAAATCCCAAACTAAATCCCAAACTAAATCCCAGACTAAATCCCAAACTAAATCCCAAACTAAATCCCAAACTAAATCCCAAACTAAATCCCAAACTAAATCCCAAACTAAATCCCTATTAAACCCATGTAGCCCACATCACCAACCACCGGGTCGTCCTAGGAGTTGACCATCAGCTACATCAGCAAGCCCTGGTGCGACCTGGCCCGCCCGGCACGGCGCAAGTACTTGACGCTGGGCCCGGCGCGGGAAAGGATCCCCTTCTGTGCGTCAAGGGGAAACATGGAACAAAAATGATGGGAATCATGAATCATATAGAGATCAGACCAATGGGAAATAGATGAGAAAACACACACACACAATATATATATATATATAAATGTAGATGTTTTCAAAGTATCTGGATAAGATATGGAAAATTATCCCAAAATAGCAGCAACTGTTTTAGGCATACATATTGATGGCCATTTGATCTCCTCTCTGGACACTGGAAATCACGGCGGTAGCTTTTTTATAGTCCCTGCAAATGGCTGGAAGTTTGAAGCTATGAAGCTGGGTCAAACAGCGTTTTTGGTGGCTTGACATGCTGAGCCAGCTTTTTCAGAGCAAGTTACCATAGATTTTAACCGCTAATTTAGACCAATTTTAGTCTACTGGATTTCAATGGATCCCAAAAACATTTATACTTTTACTAAAAGGAGGTTGCAACAGGATGGCAGCTAATTACGTGGCTTGGCAACAGCCGACCTCTCCAAATGAAAAAAATCCCATGGACACCTTTCCAGCCATCAGGAAACAGAACTTCAACTTCGTTTGTTTGTGCAAGGCGCCAACTGCTTGGTCCTGGAACCCATTGGATACCCATTTCTATTCCCCGAAAAACTGGCTCCAGATGGAGTCTCAGACAGTTCCAAAATAGCCCAAATGTCACTTCAAGTTTTCCAGGCATTTTTTGATGTCGATGGAACATCATTCACCATGATTTTCCACAATTCATTATTTTTTTTCACCCATGGTCTATTTTCAACTGGTTGGTGGTTTGGAACATTTTTTGTGTTCCATTTCATATATGGGATGTCATCCTTCCCATTGACTAATATTTTTCAAGATGGTTAAGTCACCACCAACCAGATAATGTCTCCAAAGACATGTCGGCGACACTTCCCATTGATTTCCAGCGGCGACAGGCCTGTGTGGCTCCGCGTGATGTCACGCCGCGGGATAAGCCGCGTGACACGGCAGAAAGTTTTGAGGGAACAGAATGGGGTGATCACTGCGGATGAAATATGGGGATTCAGTAGGATTAAGTGGTTCAGTCACCAACTGGGGAATATAACTTGCAACATCATAACAATATCATAGTATATCCTAGTATATCACCATGATATCCTAGTATATCCCCCAATAATATCATATTCATGGGTCTGAAATCTAACACATCACGATAAGAGATCACAATTCGATGGTTTGTAGGATGGGACCCCAATGTCAGGCATTTCCACCACCAGTCAAGCTGTTTTCAGATCCCAAAAATGGGGTACCTCAGTTTTTGCGCCGCCAGAGCCGTAAGATGGTTGGATGTTATATATACGTATATACATATAGTTATGTATGTATGCATATATATATATATATACATGTATATATATATATATATGTATATACATGTACAGAATAATTGTGTATATATGTTTACGCGCACACACACACACTGAATATTTTTTTTGGGGTGAAACATGACAAACAAGAACCACTTGTTTCCTCATTTTTTGGGTTCTACAGATGCAGTTTTGTCCATGTGTTTTGCTTTTTGCCGTTGACAGCTTTGGCTCAAAGTCCTCCTTTGACTCAGGGGCTCGGAGACTGGCTCTGCATGGGTTTGGTTAATATGTTAATCAGAGTGATTTGCTGAAGACTGTTTTATTTTGCAAACAGGAAATCAACTACTTGTGGAATCTATATAGTTTTTTTTAAGCAAATCCAAGTTTTCACATTTTGAGTAATTATTGAACTGATCAAACAGTCCCTCAAAAGGTTTCAGCCAAAAGTCTACCACGCACGCCAGACGAGTGGTTTTTGGGATGAACTCGCCCATCTTTTTTGCAAGGAGGTAGGCACTATACTCCCAATTAATGTTGAAACATAGCCTGAGTTACTGGTTATACTATGTTATACAACAAAAATTGGGGCTCATTCCCTTCAAATCTGCCACGACATCAATCATCCAGCCCCAACTGATGATCGCTGAAACGCCATGCTCCATGCTGGGCCACTCTACTCCGCCATCTGCGCAGCGGATGCCAAGAGCGCCGTGGCGGCCATTGCGAGCGCACGGAGTGAGGCGCCCCGAAATCCACCAGATAAAAGCGGCGTTTCTGGCAGTTTTCATGATGGAAAACCCATGGAAAACCCATGGAAAAATGGGGAAATCTATGGAAAACATAGAATAATCACTCAGAATAACCACTAAACCTAACAATCCACCATTTATCATTATCCCCATTGGAACCTCCGTGTTCGGGGATTTTCCACGTTTGATTACCAGAAAGTAATATTGAGTATATAACCATGAATAAACCCTGGGTGGTTTTGGGTACCGAATTCTGCGACATACCCACGTGGGAGTCCAACAATGAGAAACCTGTCCCTCCCTGGGGCGAAGAGGGTCTCATTTGATTCATGTTGGGATGGGTTGAAACCACTCACCAGATAGGAATTTTGACCTTGCGTTGTGATCCCTTGAGCTGCCTCCTCTGAACTACATCGTTTCCTGACCAATTTTTCTTCTATCTTCTCGGAGCTGCATCTTTCCCATTCGCTAAGTTTCTAATTTCTGAGTCAACCCTGAGCTACCCTGAGCCAACTCTTTTGCCAGCGGCTCTAATTAAAGCTACTTCACCAGGGTCGCTCAATCTCTGGCACGCAGCCCTTGATGCAGCCCTTCCAACCGTGTTTCGCAAACACCCCTGAATTGTCACCTTGCGTCACCCAAAAAGATTCTCTTAAATCCACTATATGGGGAATGTCCTCAAACGGGAGATCTGCAAGTCACCATGGGTTTCAATTCTAAAATGCTTTAAAACGGTCTACCCTCTGGTAAACTAACATAACCATGGAAAGATCCACCATTTTTCATGGGTAAATCCACTATAAATGGGCTATTTTCTATAGCTATTTTGACATAACCAGAGGGTAATGACTTGGATGATTTGGGGGTGCCCCCATGGCTTAGGACCCCCCCCAGCCATTGTGAGACAACTCGGAGCCAGGCGGACCTGCGGCTGCGCACCAGACAAGGCCAAAAAGGGAGCGGAAAGTACGAGGTCAAAGTTGAGGTCATTTTCCAACAGAAACCTATAACATTATAACACATTAGAATATAATTATAATTACCATTCTAATTTTAGCTTTTCAATTACCATATGTATAATAATTATAACAGCTATTACCATATGTATACTAATTATAGCGCTATGTATTGAAGCCAGCTGTTGTTTCAATGATTCGGATGTTTTTCATCCTGCTTTGGATGAGTATCCCAATCAATGGGTAGAAAACCGGAGATTTGAAAGAACGCAGCCAAGATCGGATGCGGCACCTGGCGCCACAATAGGTATGGTTATGATGTTATGATTAGAAACAAGTTCTTGTGACAACAATTGGATGCCTTCTAGTGTTAGATGGTATACAGGAGAGAGACCACTCTTTTGGCCTAGTTGATGTAAGTTTCATGGTGTTTTTAGCCAGTGTTATGGGGCTCCATTGCTTCAGCGTTCAAACTGATGGTGATCTGCCCGGTGGGATTCAACTGGATCAGACAATGTTTATAGGTGGTATAAACTGACCATTCCCAGTAAAATGGGTGGTAACCATGACATTGTTTTAACCACATGACTCCTAGAGTCACCATAGTCACATTGGACAAGCCCAAATCCCCATGATAAGTCATCATCTTCCCTATCTACAATTCCATAAAATAGGGTGGGGAACACCTCACACATTCATTACATACCCGTTTTACCTTTCACCCCATCGACCAGTTGATACAGTATCCTGGAAAAGTCACAACTTCACTGCTTGGTCTAATTCCAATTTTTGCTGCTTAGGTCGTAATTGTTTAGTGGTTAAATTGCCAGTTCTTTTCATGGTAAACTCAAACTATCACACCATGTACAGTCAACATAAACTTATGAGGATTACATAAGGTAACCATTACATAAGGTACCATGGTTTGTAATCCTATGATCCTATGACCATGGGTTAAACCATAATCGGATTACTTAAACTCAAGGATCAACCCATGTGGAGGTCGTACAGCTTTGCACTTGGCAGCGGCTGCGGGGCTCCCTGAGCCGTGTTCCTTGACGTCGTCTCGATGGTTGATTTCATGGAAAATCTGAACATCAAATGGATGATGCAAGGGGGTACCATGACTTTGGAAAGCCACATATTCAGGAAGGGTGAGATCAATGGGGGTTAGACACAAAGATGGTGATTTATGGGCCATGGGCCAATGGATGGGGATCTAATCGGGATTCAACACCAATAAAATCGTGGAGAGTGGGGATTTGGCCTCCACTGATGATTTATGAATATTTATGGTGATTTAGCCAACGAGAATGGACATTTATTGTGACTTTCAGTGATCTTAAAGAAAATTGGAAAATTGGAAACCTGGACATATGTAGCATGAATAGTACCTGGGAAACCTTTCGATCTATTTTGGGGTCCGCATATGGTGATCTTCGAAAAGATAGAAAGACAAATCTAGCAGGACATGTTCAAAACATTTGATTGACCCAACATTCTGTCACATCTAGGATGTTGACTCTTGTTCACAGTCCCATCCTGCAGTTGTCACTGCTGCGCAGGCTGCGGGATGTTCTTCTTTCAAGATGGGTGTTTCGACTAACAGGGATTGGTAAATAGTAACACCAAATAAAAATGCAAACATTGGGGGCATACGACACTTCCAGAGACTTGCAGAGTTCCACAGTGAACACATTGGCCCCTTGGTTTGGCCACACAGCTTTTCTGCTTTTTTTGGCGCGTGAAATCCGACCAGTTTTGTTTGGTTTGTTGGTGACATTTCCGTTTTTGGTTCGTTGATCTCCCTTCGAACAAACCTCGAATCAGAAACTTCCCCCGAATCAGCAACAAAGAATCAAAAACTAAAACCCGCGAATCAGAAACTAAAATCCGCGAATCAGAAACCAAAATCCCACGAATCAGAAACCAAAAACCACGCGAATCAGAAACTAAAATACAGGAATCAGATACAAAACCCCGCAAATCAGAAACTAAGAATCAGAAACTAAAAATTGCGAATCAGACACCAAGATCCACGAATCAGAAACCAAACAAGGCCACGAATCAGAAACCAAAAAAAGCGAATCTGAAACCAAATCCGCCACCCCCTCTCGCCTTTGCGTTGAATGATATATGACCGTCAATTTATCCTCATAAGCGATCAAGTCCGGCACCCCCTCTGACCATTATGTTGAATGAATACCTTCAACTTATCTTCATAAAATATCGATTCCTCCACCCCCTCTGGCCACTTTGTTGAATAAGATAGCCAACTTCTCTTTCCGATTGAAGGAGACAAGTTGCCCATTCTGATTGATTCAGCTGGTTTAGTTTCCGATTCTCCGGTTTTTGTTTCTGATTCACCTGTTTTAGTTTCCGATTCACCTGCTTTAGTTTACGATTCAGCTGTGGTTGCCGATTCCGGGGTTTTGGTTTACGATTCAAGGTTCTTAGTTTTCGATTCACGGGTTTTAGTTTCCGATTCTTTTGGTTTCCGATTAACAGGTTCTGGTTTCCGATTAATGAGTTTTGGTTTCCGATTCCCGGGTTTTTGTTTCCGATTAACAGGTTTTAGTTTCCGATTAATAGCTTGACCATCTCCCTTCATCTAGCTGATGTTGGCGAAACCATTGCTAAACAATTCCAGGTTCGCTTGAAATGTTCTTGTTTTCTTGACACTTGACACCTCTTTCCACATCTTCTCCCATATTTTCTCTAGGTTTATTTGGGAGTCCACTCCCTTCATTTTTTTTTCGGTTTCCCAGCATTTTCCCAGCATTTTGCAGCCGAGGCATCCAACTCCTGGAGTGCCCCTTCTTCAACCAGCACAACGATGTGGACCTCGAAGGCCGCAGCGCCCTACACCTGGCCGCCGAAGCCGGGCGAGGCCGGGATGAGGGTCGTTGAGCCATGGGGGGGTTCCTATGATTCTTCACTCTTCACTTGTGGATCAAGCATGGATTGTGGAAGCAAGCATTGACCTTGGATGTGTGTTGCCACTTTTGATCGAACGTACAGGGGCCCTAGATCCATACGCTGTTGTGACAACTCAACATGGCATATCAAAAAGGGTGAGGTTTGCACCTTCCGCTGCTCCGCTCAGTGCTACAGTGGTAGCGGCAGCTGTGGTGACCTTCCAGGCAAATGCCGGAACTTGAGGACATCGCGACGCCTGAGGCTAGAGCTTCGACGGCGGTGAGTCCCTTTGCAGGGGCAACTGGACCAGGCGATGGAGAAGGAGGCGAGGGGAGAGACCGTGATGGGGTCCGTGATAGAGAACCACCTCCTTCTTACGATGGTTTGGATCCAGAAGGAACGTTTAAGACGTTCGAGAAAAGTGTGCGGCTGTGGGAGTTTGAGACAGACATCCCACGAAGAAAGCAAGGTGCAAAACTCCTTAGAGGTCTTACAGGCATGGCACAGTTGGCAGTGGAAAACATGGAGTTTGAAGAGATAGCCACAGAAGACGGAGTGAGAAACGTCATGCGTAGACTGAAGGAGTTTTTCCTCCCACACTTGGAGGTCAGTTTGCCAAGGGCTTTTGAGAATGCAGTATATGGAAAACCAAGACAGGCCTCTGAAGGATATGCAGAATACATAGCAAGAATGGAAAGGGCTTTTCATAGGCTAGAGAAAGAAGGAGTCACGATGCCAGATGGAGCCACAGGGTACATACTGTACCGTCATGCGAGTTTGACAGAGGCTCAAGACCAAAGGTTGCTGACATGGTGTGATGGAAAGTATGACAAGAGCTCCATAGTCAAAGCTCTCCGGAAGCTGGACAAGGTGGTGCGAGAGAAGTCGGGCAAGTCGTCCTACTTCAATGACGAGGGCGAGGGCCTTGACGAGGAGGCCTACATGATGGAAGATGAAGACGAAGACAATTACGTCTACGTCGCCGATGGCGATTTGGATCGGGTGTTCACCGAGGAGGAGATGATGGCTGCATTGGCTAGCTACAAGGAGGTGAGAGACTCCCTGAGAGAGCAAAGGAACAACAGAGGATACTATCCTCGAGGCAAAGGCTTTGGGGGCAAGAACATGACAAAGGGCAAGGGCAAGCACCGAGTGCACATCGAGCAGCTCAAGCTGAGGACAAAGTGCTGGCGTTGTGGGGCACTGGGGCACATTAGCCGTGAGTGCAGTGCGCCGGCTCCGGAGCGCGGCAAGGGCTCGATGGGAAGTTCCTCCAATGCTCCTTCATCGAACCCGTCTCAGAAGTCTGGTTTCTTTGTCATAGGAGAGTCAGAGGGTGGCCAAAGCAGCTCAGTTTTTCCAGTTTGCCAAGATGTGCAACATGATGCTTCGCACTGGTGGTTGAGACAGTTTGTAGAAGAACGCAGGCGAAAGAACGCCAGCGGACCTCAGAGCTTTGCGCAGTCCGAGAGAGCATACAAGAGTGCAATGTCCGAAGGGTTTTGCGGCATCATGACACAATCAGCACATGGAATAGTAGATACTGCAGCAGAAGGAGGCTTAGTAGGTTCAAAGGCATTGGAGCGTTTGACTGGAGAGTTGCAGAAACATGGACTTACATGCAAGTGGACACCAAAGAGATCATCAGCAAAAGGCGTAGGAGGACAAGCAAAGGTGATTGGAGTGGTGCTGATACCTCTAGGAGTTGGTGGTTTGAACGGAGTTTTAGAAGCAACCGTGGTTGAGGGTGACGTGCCGCTGTTGTTGCCGGTGAAAATGATGAAACAACTCAAAGCGATCATTGATTTTTCCAAAGGCATCTTCACCATCACCTCTGAGTCCATCGAAGTTCCCATGTTTGAGCTTCCGTCAGGGCATGTCACGATCGATATTCTGAATTTTGCAGACACAGGTTTTGAGGTTTCAGATCCAGATGCTCCATGCTCCACATCCGATTTCCAACTACATGTTTCTGCCCGAGCCATGCTGGCTCAGCTCGGGATCAAAAAGGGTGCAGCCCCATCATTGAGTTTTCCGCAAAACTCTCCGCTCTCTTTGCTCGGCGAACAGGGCGAGCTTAGTGCAGCGGCTGATGGGTGGGCAGCACGCGGTGGAGACCTCCGAGCCGATGTTTGGAAGTCCGCCAAGAGCCCGGCGTCCGAAGGTGGCACTACGTGGATGGCGAGTGGTGATGGACAAGATCGTCACCATCATGCAATTCGTGGATCAGCAATTGGCCGTGCAGGAGTGGTTCCCAGGCTCCTCTGGACTTTTGGTGCGGCCTACGCCGCTGTCCAAGGAGCAAGAGACGGTCGAGGATGTGTACGCCCAGCTGATCGTTGGGGCGGAGGTGTTGCCTCCGTTGAAGAGCCAAGAGAAGCCATCTACAGCAGCCAGCTCTTGCATTCACCCGAAGAGTGCTCTGAAAGGAGGTGGAAACAAGAGCGCATCGTACATCTTTTGCAAGATGTGCATGAGCCGTTGGTCCAGTCCAATGACGGCGGCAGAGATACATGCAGGCTTGAAAGAGCAGAAGAAGCAGGGCCCCTTGAGTCAAAAGAAGGAGGTTCAGAAGAAGGTGCGTGCAGTAGAGGATGCAGAGATGTTGGAGCCGCCCTATGGAGAGGAGGTGATTGCCAGTCAAGTGACGGCGCAAGCTCAAGACCAATTGGAGAAGATGCAGCACCAGATGCAGATCGAGACAGAGAAGATGCGGGTGGCGCAAGCAGAGATGTGGCAGGAGCTTCAGTCCCAAAGACAGGAGTCCAAGGAGAAAGAGGTAGTGCATCAAAGGGCACTACTCGCCATGCATCAGGAGAAGGAGGATTTGGAGAAGCAACTTCGTCAAATGAAAGCAGCAGCAGCAGCTCCGCAGGTCAAGCTGTGTTGGTGCGGGAAGTCAGCGGAGAAGTTAGTGGTCCGCAAAGAGGGAGCACGTCAAGGAAGGAAGTTCTGGAAGTGCACTCAGAGAGAATGCCAGTACTTCGAGTGGGTGCCGAGAACTCCGAGCCCACCACCGAGCCAGATGAGTGGGTTCTCTCTGGTCACATCCCAGAAGACCGGAGAACAGATGAGCGTGGCATCTTCCAGGAGGAGGAGCAAGAGTCCCAGAACAGCACATCGCACTCATGCAGCAGGACAAGTGGCGGAGACGATCTCCGATTGAGTCAGGAGACCTGGCTCTATGCGACTGCAGTCAAGGGACAGAGGACCTTGAACAGGGTGCTTCGAGGCCATGATCCGCATTTTGCGGCCAGTAGTTTTCAGTATGAAAAAGAAGAGACTGAAGGTGATTGGAAAGTTATGAGCGGGCAGATACCTCCTCAGGAGGGGGTCTCTGTTCGAGTGAAAGTTGTTTTGCAGAAGAGGGCTGAAGCAGAGAATTTCTTTGGCTTGGAGAAAGAGAAGCAGTTCAATAGAAAACAGAGAAAGATGATGAACAGGGCGTTTGAAGCAGTGACGCCTGTGGTGAGCGAGGTGTTCTCACCGCCACGCGTCGTTGAGGAGGCGCAAAGACAAGGTCTGCAGCCGGGCACCTCATTTGACATCACAGAGGGCTGGGACCTTAGCAAGCCAGAGATCAGGAAAAAGATGTGGAGAAAGCTCAAAGAGGAAGATCCTTTATTGATTATTCTTTCGCCTCCTTGCGTTGGTTTCAGCATTTTGCAGGAACTCAACCTGCCTCACATGTCATGGGAAGATGCAGTGATGTTGATTTCCACAGGGTTGGATCATTTGGAGCTCGCGATGCTGATCGCGAAATGGCAAGCCAAAAGAGGCAGGTACGTTTTGTTTGAGCATCCATGGCTAGCCAGATCATGGCATGAGGAGTCAGTGAAAGAAGTAGAGCAAATGGCAGGCATGCACAGGGTTAGATGCGATCAGTGCATGTATGGTTTGCGAGTGGATGAGTGGGGTCTCAACATGAAACCCACTGGGATCATGGTCAATTCAGAGAAGATAGCGGCACGCATGAACCGAACGTGCGACCATCGTCATTTCCATGCGCCTACCATGAATGGCAGACCAAAGAAGGCGCAAGTATACCCCAAGGAGTTTTGCAAGCAGATTATTTTGGGTTTGAAAGAACAAATGGAGGTAGATGGAAAGTTGAGGCTGAAGTCAGAAGTTTTTGTAGAAGATGAAGATGAGGAGAATTCGGATCATGAGGAGGATCCGAATCCAGAAGCAGCCGCAGGAGAAGCAGAAGGAGACTACTCCATTTCCGAGGAAGAGAAAAGACAGGTGCAAAAGATGCACCGCAGCTTGGGGCATCCGCAAAAGCCCGAGTTTGTGCGTTTTATGAGAGCAGCCAGAGTGAAGGGAGAAGTCATTCGATGGGCGGCACATGAGTTCAAGTGCCCAGCGTGTGAGGCACGGCCCAAGCCGAAGGCCACGAGACCAGCAGCAATTCCTAGAACATACCAGCCAAACAGAGTCTTGGGGGTGGACCTGATTTTCCTTCCAGAGGTTGGAGGAAAAGAAACCTTCCCAGCATTGTCCATTTTGGATTGGGGTTCCAACTATCAGGTGGTAGAGAGAGTCGAGAACAAACACCCAGACACCGTGTGGAACACAATGTGGTCATGTTGGTTTAGGACGTTTGGCTGGCCTGACGTCATTGTCTGTGACGCCGGAAAAGAGTTTTCAAGGAAGTTCATGCAGCTGGCCACGTCATGTGGCATTGTGGTGCAGCCCATTGCTGCAAAGGCACCATGGCAGCAGGGAAGAACAGAGAGGCATGGAGCATTGTTCAAAGAGTTACTTGCCAAGGGTAGAGAAGAGACAGTCATCTCCAGCCCAGAAGAATTGAGGAGACTCATGCAGGAGACAGAGATGGCGAAGAATCGGTTCAGCAACCGATCAGGGTATTCCCCAATTCAGAGGCAGATTGGGCAATGGCCGAAGGTGCCGAGTGAACTCCTTTCAGATGATGTCATAGACCCAGGGTTGATGGATGGCGCCGTGGTCGATGACATGGAGAGGAGTTTGGAGCTGCGAAGAATCGCGCAAAAGGCGTTCATAGAACACAACGCCAGAGAGTCCTTGAGGAGGATAGAAAAAGGAAGGAGCAGAGTTCCCCAAGAGTTTCAGGCAGGGGACTATGTTTACGTGTACAGAGTAGCGAGAGAGAAGAAGAGGAAGCATGAGATAGGGCCAAGGAGTCAGGAGCATGTTCCAAACAAGGCATCTTGGATTGGTCCAGGAACTATTGTTGCGGTGGATGGAGCTAGCTTGTGGATCTCCATGTTTGGAGAATTGTGGAGGACTGCACGCGAACAATGTCGTACGGCGACAAACATTGAGAAGCAAGGAATTGAGGAAGTTATGAGGAGCTGCAAGGAACTGGTGGAGGAATACAAGAGGTCATCCAACAGAAAAGGATACAGAGACATCAGAGATGAGAGGTGGCCATCAGACGATGAGATAGAAGACGGATCGGAGGAGAGTCCAAGGAAGCGAGAGGTGAGATTTCAAGAACCCCTCGAAGAAGGGGAGGCTCCCGTATCAGAGGGATACGCGCCAACCACTCCGATAGACTCCCCTCGAGGTGGGGAGATTGAGAACGGAGAGACAGAAGACTCGGAGATGAGTCACAGAAGATCAGAGAGAACAGATGAGACGATAGAGGAGCCAGAAAGAGAGGCCAGACGCAGAAGCTCACTGACAGAATCAGAGATTCGAGAAGCATTGAGACCAGAAGAGGAAACGGCAGACAGGCCAGAGACAGAAGAAGGAGATGAACGATATCAGAGGATCGTCGAAGAGTCGATCCACAGAAGTCGTCGCCTAGAGGGTCTTCCGGCAATAGGACGACCTTTGAGAGTAAGGAGTCGCCCGTCTGCCGATGGTCCATACTTCCAAGAAACCTTCTTCATAAGTCCAGAAGAAGAAGAAGACTGGCAAGAAGAGGAAGAAGACAGAGAAGACCACATGAGATGGCAGAAGCTGTGCAAGATGAGCCAAGAAGAGCCCAAGAGAGACTACTGGGAGTTGGACTTGAAGGGTCAGAAGATGATCCGACATCACGTCCAGAAGAGAAAGGCACTTTTCTCCCCAGAGGGAGTAAAGTCCACACCAGTCAAGTTGAATCAGATGCAGCAACAGAGAATCACTATAGTGGATGGCCGCAAGAATCAAGAGGAAAGACGTATAGAAGATCAATGGGCACAAGGAGATGCCAAGAGAAGCCGAGGAGTTTGGTGGACAGGCCGCACAGAATTTTTCCTGTGCTCCAAGTCAGAAGGCAAGACAGAAGAATCCATAGAGACGTGGGCAGTAGAGAAGAAAGGCACAGAAGACGTTGATCTGAGAACAGAAACGCCTGAAGCCCTTGAGGGCTGGAAAATGGCTGATGCAACAGAATGGGAAAAGATCAGCAAGAGTGGCGCTGTGAGAGTTCTCAGCGTAGAAGAATCAAGAGAGGTCAAGAAGAAACTGGCTTCAGAAGGCAAGCTAGATAGGATCTTGCCTACTCGGATGCTCAGACAGTACAAGCATGCTGAACAGCCAAATGAACCTCCTTCACAGAAAAGCAGGCTGTGTATCAGAGGAGACAAGGACCCAGATATTTTTGATCTGGAGCGATTTTCACCAACGGTTTGCACCATGAATTTGAACGTGGTGCTTCAACTGGCAGTGAACGAAGGAATGCAGATCGGCATTGGAGATCTAAAGAACGCATTCTGCCAGTCGCAACCGCTGATGAGAAAGAATGGAGCCTTGTACTTCAAACAACCACAAGAAGGAATCACAGGGCTACACCCTGAGCAGATTGTTTTGATCATTGCTGGATGTTACGGCTTGGTGGATGGACCACTGCATTGGAGAAAGTCATTGGTTCAGACGCTGAAAATGCTGGGCTATCAGGAGAGCAAGTTGGATCCATGTTTATTCAAACTGTTTGAGAGTGGGAAGCTTTGTGGTTTGCTTGCGATAGAGGTAGATGATATTTTAGCATGCGGAAAGGGTTTGCATCTGAAAAAGATTGAAGAGCTGAAGACCTTGTACAACTTCGGCAAGTGGGTTGACCTCCGCGATTCCACTCAAGGTGCCTCTTTCAATGGAAGAAGACTTCGAGTAGGGAGCAAAGGCGAAATTCTCATTGACATGTGCAAGTTCATCCAGGAGAGATTGCATGAAATTCCATTAGACAAAGGACGGAGATCGTCCAAGAAGGAGCCGGTCACAGAAACAGAACGAACACAAGCCCGGGCCTTGTGTGGATTGCTTAACTGGCTATCCAAAGAGGGAAGGCCAGATGCGGCAGGCCCATCTAGCTTGATGTCCTCGCGTTTGACCAGAATGACAGTGGAAGATTTGATTCAGCTGAATGAGGTGGTTCGTGGTTTGAAGGAGACTGCAGAAGTGACTCTGCAGGTGCAACCGCTGAAAGAGATGCAATTGGCGGTCATCACAGACGCTTCATTTGGAAATGATGGCTTTCATTCTCAGGGAGGTCAAATGATATTAGCTCATGAGCCAGGCTTGAAGAAAGGTCAGAAGGTCAAGACGAATTTGCTCTGGTGGCGTAGTGCGAAGCTGCAACGGGTTGTAAACTCTACTCTGGCGGCAGAAACACAGAGTTTGTCGAAGGGCATAGGAGACCTTTTATGGATGAAAGTTTTGATCCGTGAGCTGAGCGAGGAGAAGTTCAACATAAAGGAATGGCCTGCGCAACTTGCGAGTGAGAGGGTTTTAGCATTAGCCAAAGACACCAGTTCCCAAGAGTTGCAAGAATGTCTTGCGATTGTAGATGCGAAGAGTTTGTTCGATCACCTGTCGAAAGAGTCGATAGGGGGACAGGACAAGCGTACAGCTATAGAAATCCAGATAATTCGACAGGAACTGGCACAAATGCATGGCGAAGTGAGATGGATAGATCACCCTGCGATGCTGGCTGATCCATTGACAAAGGTCAGGGGATCGACGAAGGCATTACATGACATGCTTTCGAGTGGAGCTTTTGGCATAGTAGCAGAGGTTGATCACATGGCCCATAGGAAAGAGATCAAAGCATCCAAGGTCAACAGAAAACTTGGGAGCTGTGGATCAAGCATGGATTGTGGAAGCAAGCATTGACCTTGGATGTGTGTTGCCACTTTTGATCGAACGTACACGGGCCCTAGATCCATACGCTGTTGTGACAACTCAACATGGCATATCAAAAAGGGTGAGGTTTGCACCTTACGCTGCTCCGCTCAGTGCTACATCACTAATAAATCACTGGTTGGTGGTTTGGGTGGTTTGGAACATGACTTTTATTTTCCATTTCATATATGGGATGTCATCCTTCCCATTGACTTTCATATTTTTCAAGATGGTTAAAACCACCAACCGGATCAGATGAATCGATAAACCTGACTAAAACTCAGACAAACCTGACTGAAATTTATACAAAAATCAGATAAGATCAAATCAGATAAACCTGACGAATTAAGCCTCCGTTTTTTTTCTTCGTTTTTTTTTCGGGACACGTGTCCTGTACAGATGGATTGGGGAAAAAAAAATCATCACGCCAATTTTGCGGAGGGAGCCCATGACCATCCCAGTTTGGGGATCCTGAAAATGGGGCATTCCTTTGAAATGCCACGGAATATTCTCACAATAAAGACAGACCAGGAAAAGCTGGTCATTTTCAAATCAGAATTTACACATCCCTTAAAATGAATGTCAAATTTGTTTTGAGCCCCAAGTTTCATAGAATTGGATGATGGGAAAATTTACAGGACAGCCCTATATTTGATGGTAAAAACCATGGTTTCCTGTAAATTTTTCCTTAAACCAATCCAGTGAAAGTTTGGTGGGTTTGATGATCCCATTCCGGTGGAGAATGGTGCCATCAGTGGTCCAGGTGAGGTCTGCTATGTTCTGCTGGAGCATCCACAGTTCAAGATGGTGAACGCAGAGGAGAGAAAGCGAGGGCGATGTGATCTCTGGGTACCCCTGGAGGATGTTGATATGGCTATGGATCAATACCTTTAGATACAATTTGTGAGGGGATGAACATCCATTTATCCATAAATCCCAGCTATTCTGATGTGAACAGAAGGGGTACAGGGTTTTGACCGATAGCCAATATGAGTAATTAAGCGACAAAATTAGCCAAAGACTAAAGTAATGGGAAATGGACTTGGGATGTTCAAATTTGTGTGAAAACAACCGATAGGGGACCACCCACTTACCGATACCCTATTTTGACACATAGCATGGAAGTACACATCTTCACAACCGATAGGGGACCACCCACTTTGGCCATGTCCATTGCGAGTAGTATATAAATAATTTTGTCCGCTAGTATGGAGGTTTTTTTTGGGGGTATATACTCCAAATCATCCAAATTTATGCAATTTTACTATTGAAACCCATGGTCTTGGGGATCCACCATTTAAACAAGACCAGAATATGTATGTCAGTTCCAGTCTTTCATCTCAATGACATTTGATTATATACGATGTTTCCACCTGTTCCATTTTTCTGCAGGGATGGTTTCACTACAAGAAATAGCAGGAGGCAAGATAAGACAACGACTGAGCGTAGTTTCAAAATGTTTCAAACGCATCAATAAACATATCATTGTAATCATATGGATTGATATTCAATTGATCAATATTCCCCCTATGTATTGCTATGTATATAACCAGTTCAATTATCAATACATAATTCATTATGGATTGAACCAACTATTGCACAATCCCCCCACATGTGCAGTGCAGGGAGATGGAGGTGAACATGTCTGATTGTGAAACCTCAGTTATTTGGCATGGCAATACTTTGGTTGATGAACATGTGGGCTTTCCCTTTGTTGCTTATATCGCAGACATATTTATGTGTATATATATATACAGATGAGTTATACAGTGATACAGCTATTATATAACCTCCATGTGCATCAAATTTTCCATGGATGGTTACATCTCATGAATATCCATTGGTTGAAATAGTTAGCATCTCCCTATCAATCTCCATGTTGCATATTCTTGGTTTCCCATGTTCTTAGTTATTTACAAGAAACTTATGTATAGGGAACTTGGGATTATGGAATAAATAACTATTACCCTCTGGTTATGACTAACATAGCCATGTATAGATGGCCCATAGAAATAGATGGTTTACCTATTAAAAATGGTGGATCTTTCCATGGCTATGTTAAATAACCAGAGGGTATATAGAGTACATATGGATATATGGACACTGTACATATGGACACTATTAACTATAAATAACTATAGAAACTTATGAATAAATAACTATTAACCATCTACAACCATTCTCGTCTAGCTATACTTGTGGGTGCAGTTCCACTAGGGTGATACTTCACCAGGTCACCATAGTAGGTGTTGCATCCTGTCAGGAAAGAACTACTCGTACTGTATATGGTAATAGAACGTTATAGTCATGCCAAGAAGAGTTATTATAACTATATACTATATAACCATATATAACCGGTTTATATGCAGAAAAAGCCATTGAAATACACACACATATATATAAGCTATATATATATTATATAAGCTATATATATATATATATATTATATATATTATATATAATATCCCTATGTAACATACCGTATAACTCTGGATAAAAGGTGCCAAAGTCAGCCAGGACTTTGAGGGCCATAGCGCCTTGCACCTCAGTGCATTAAAGGGACACCTCAGAGCCTCGGAGGTCCCAAGGGCTTTTTACAGACCAAATTTTCTGGACATTTAGGGGAACAAAGAGCCAAATCCCATGGGTTTTTTTCCACCTCATGTTCCATATATCTGGGAAAATTATAACGACCTCACTGCGACCTCACTGGAATCATGGTTAATAAGGGAAATCATCCCCAAATGGCCTTAATTCAGGTTAGTGAAATATTATAATTTACCCATATATATATATAGATATAGATATAGATATAGATATATAGATAGGTCATAGCTGGGGGCTTCGACCTCACTTGGGGAATTCGCTTGACTTGACAGAGACCGACCCTACTTGGGAATTTCATCAGAAACAATTGGGATTCGGACAGATTTTTCCTTGATGTTCCTAGGGATATGGGGGATTTGACCACAAAAAATTGTGATTTGGCATGACTCAGCCAATACACATGAGAATTCAGCCAATAGAGGCTCACTTTAGGACCCCCAAACCATGAAATTCGGGATCTAATCAACAAAACTCGAGATGTAACCTTTGACCAAATGAAGTCTTCACAGAAAATTTTGAGAAATCTTGGAACGCAAGGAATTTGAACTACAATTTTTCGTTGCGAGATCTTTGTTTTCCTTTACCAGCCACTTGTCTTGTGCCATCCGGGATGATCGAAGATCTCGAACTGGAAGCCATGGCGCATTGAGAATGGACGTAATGTGGTTAAAACAATAATAAGCCCCCATTTGGGAATGGTTTATAGCACCTATTTATGGTGATGACTGGGGGTGGTTTATTATTGTTTTACCCACATTACTGTATTAAACATTGTGTTTTCCAGAACTATCTCAACTTACGGATACTAGAGGATATGCGCATGCTTGATTTTCGCTTTCCAGATTGAATTACAATAGGACAAATCCCACTTGTGGGTACTTTTTGTTGGATAGATCTTCATTTTTGTTGATAAGACCTCCATTTATTTATTGTTGGCTGGAGCCTTTTTGTGGATTAAATTTCACTTGCTTGTTGCTTTAACTTTTCAATTCCCTTTCTTCTTGATCCAGTCATCCTTATCTGCTTAAGATCACAACAAATTGTTGGTCAAACATGATCCATATATTTCTCCGAAACATTCCACGTTTTTTTCTTGTTGAGTTGAACCTTTCATTTAAGTCTTCCTAGACATCCCCAGTTTATCGGTGTTTCCAGTGTGCAGGTCCTGCTGACGCATCCAAAGTTCACGGTCGAGGCGGCCCGGCAGCGGGACGGCATGACGGCGCTGCATTTGGCGGCCAAGGGAGGCACAAGGGGAAGGTGGGGGAAATTTTGCCTGGACACACACGCACACAATCACACACACATACATATATATATATATATATGACTATATATGTGATATTATGGTATACTATATATATATATTATAATACATGTAATATACCATAATATCACATACGGTATATATATATAACAATAATAATAACAACAATAGTAATAAGTATACGGTGCACACACACACATACATATGACATTGGAACCTAAAATGTAGCAGATTTTGAGGATAGAAGATTGAACCATCTTACGACAGTGATGAACACCATTTCCTATGTTTTTTTTGGTTAGTACACCTATAGAAAAAACCATCAATATCAAACGGTGGGTCAATCGTCCGTGCGTGGATCATTTTGTGGATGGCTATGTCAAATGACCAGAGGATAGCCAGATATTGGAGAGTATTTATATGATGGGTGATGATCGGAGCGTTTTACTAGTCACTTGGGGACTTCCCCCAGAGTTTGGGAGATCATGGGGATATCGAAGGAATAACAAGTCAATATCTTTTGAGAAAGTGGTACCCTCTGGTAATTTAACATAGCTATTGAACATAGCCATTTATAGTGGATTTTCCTATTAAAAATGGTGATTTTCCATAGTTATGTTAGTTTACCAGAGGGTACACCACTAGCAATCATGCGATGAATCCCTTCTCCCATTGAATTCGGTGACCTCCCCAACTCCCCAACTCGATGAGAATGTTCTGCCTGTCCAGGACACCCTGATCTGTGCATGCTCCTCTTGCGCTTTCCCGTGGCGTGGATGAAGTGATGATTTTTTTGTTGGTGGATCCTGGATCCTGAAGATGACAAAATGCAGTGTCTTCATGGGTTCCCGGCACTCCGGAAGTTTCTCTTATTGCATGGTTCTCTCTTTTCCAGTGATCCACAATCATCATTCAGAGATCGGGCCAAGTCCTGTCTTTAGTAAAGGTATCAAGCTCCATAGAAGGGCAGCACTGACCCACTCCCATATATTTTGAATTCCCGTTAAAAGAGGGATCGCCATGGCAAATGATGATCAATGGTAACCAAACTGATGGCGAAACTTTGGTGACTCCCGAAGTGGTTACCATATTCATCATCCTACTGATTTCACAACTATTCTTGGCAAACGAGAATTTCCATGGCATGCCAGTCGCCGTCCACTTTCCCCACAGGGACATCGGGGTTACAGCCCACTGGCTCAGCCCACTGGCTGTAACCCGTCTGTACCATAAGCCCACTTGGGAGACGTACCTCTATCACTGGATGTACATCCCGGTAGATGGCTAATCAGCTAATCATCAATTTCTACATCGAAGTGGAGTTTTGTCCGGTTATAACTATGATTACGGAGCATTTGCAAAATGCGATGATCCTCCAAGGAACGTACTAAAGTCGGTTGATCAACAGAGGGGCCTTTGGTAAATGAAGCTAAATGGCATACCAAACCTCCGCCCCCCAAAAAAACATGTATATGTTCACATATATCCATCAGTTGGATCCGTTGTTTTAAACATCACCAATAAGAATAATTTTTGTAACCATCCATAAATCCCTAAAGTTCTCTCACACTCCATTATAATCTATTAATCCCATATAAATCTCATGAATTATTAACCATATCCCCCTGTTTAATCCCATGAAATCTCATGAAAAATGCCATGAAATCCCTGGTGTTGATGCTTCAAATCCCATGGAAATCCCTGGTTGGAAATCTCCAGGTGTTCGCCCACCAGCTCCAGCAGCCCGACCACTTTGGGCGCACCGTGCTGGGCCTACATGGTGAGGCAGAGGGGCCGTAGGGGTTGTAATGGTTTGTAAGAATATATATATATAAGGGTTATATAAGGAATAGTGATTTTTAGTGATGGTTAATAGTGGTTTTCATAGGGTATAAACCAACAACAATGGGAATATGATGGTTATACTGGTTGGTGGTTTGAAACATGGCCTTTATTTTCCCCAATAGTTGGGATGATGATATAATCTGACTAATATTTTTCAAGGGGGGTTGAAACCACCAATTGGATAAGGGTTATATAAGGGTGAATGATGGTGATAATGGGTTACATGATGAAAATTTAGACCTGATGTTTTCATAGTGCATACGAATGGGTAATAGAAATGGCTACTAGTGGTGAGCCATTGTTTATAGGGGGAGAGAATTTGAACATCCGGTAATTGAGCAGCGACCAAAACCCCCATGTATTCGTTTTATCTTGGGCTCAAAGAAAGATGACCTCGCGGAAGTGAAAACCCGCACCCGCAGCGCGGAAGCTCCGCGCAAGCTTTCGCGGAAGGGGTATTAAAACCAAGGTTCGCGGAAGCGTCGCGGAACCCGAAAGCGTTTCTCGCCACATTCCTTATTTGAAACGACAGTTTGCGGAAGCGCTGCGGAAGTGAATTGTGGAAGCTGTGGCCGCGGAAGTAGGGCGGAAGTGTTCGCGGAAGACAAATGTTAGTATAAAGGAATAAAACAGAGGTTTTGGCCACAGCTGAATTAAGATTTGAGATTTGTTTCGGGGAGATTTGAAACGCACCTTCGAGTGATCACCAACGCATCAGCATGATTGGAATCATGCCGTTTTGGTGATGGGATGAGATCTGGCAACATCTGACAGCAAAAGGAGTTGAAGCATCACAAGATATTTGAGCTGACCCGCGGGCCCTTTGATCCAATCAACTTTGAGGCAAAAACATCGAAGAAGATTCCCATACAGACCCAACGATTTGCTGAAAGGTTTTTTTTTAGCACTGCGGGTTTGTCAAAAACAAAGGTACCCCAAAAATCATGGATATCATGGTTTCTCATCCTGTTCTGTACCACCAAACCCTCCAAAGTTGGAATTGATCTTCGGCCCATCACGCGCCCATCTCTTTCCAGGAGAGCGAAGTGGCGGACAAGGACCGTTTTGGCAGATGACTCCAGTGGTTTAGAACCGAACATTTATGGGGGTTTCCATGGGGATACTGCAGATACCCCTTCATTGCTGGATTGTTTTTCATAGAAAATCCGAACATGAAATAGATGAAACATGTACCCCTATGACAAAATTGTAATTTTTCCATATTTTTCCCAGTAAAGAAATCACCATTTGGCCCATTTTCAGACACACTTCGATATTCTTTTGAATAAATGGACACAATGTTTTATACTTGAATAGATGTAATTTAATGTGTTATTTCTATGTAGAAATATAGACAAGCCAACCAGAACTTTATCAATGCGGGGTGGGTTTATAAGCCCAACTCGCTCTTGTGGACCCGTTGAACTGGCATGTCCTGGCACAAATTCAGCTGGATATCCCTTGAAAAGAACATATCACACAAGCCAGGTGTTGCAATCTTCAACTTTTCAACTGGCATAGTCATTCTCCATAAGTGGGGTATCCCTTCAATATTGACTTGATACTGTATCTCTATATCTCTCTGTTCGTGGACTTGGTGACTTGCTCTTCCGCTTTAATATGGCTGTCTATTTTCCCAATAGTCTCCATTCGAACAAATCCCCATTTCGCCATCAAAATCGCCAATCATCTCACCGGTTCAGAAATGGAGCGACACGTCTCAAAAATCCCACCACTTTTTGTGCGTCGTTTCTTTTGCCACTGGCAAAATTCCTCAAATTAAGATATCCAAGTAATTCCAAGTATAAGTTAAGTCCTACTTCTTCGGTAGACAATCTTTATTATCGATCTAGAACAACAACATAAACCGTGTACCCCCACATCTCCATATGTTGGGCATTTAAGTAATATATATATATATGTATGTTACATATATATATATATATACACACTATGTACCATAGAAACAATCAATGATCAAGAAACACAAATCATCCCAAAACCGTTTATCAACAAAATAGGTCAACTGTAGTCCTCCATATGTATTTTGCCAAAAAGAAGCATTCATAAACCTCCCCAAACCAACCATCCAACCCCGAATCACCCAAGAATCGTTTATAAACCAACAATTTCGAAGTTAAATATCCAATCATGTACATATATCTACATATACATTGAACAGTCATGTTCCATAAATCTCCCACTGCGAAGGATTTTATTTCTCTATCTTTTTGGGGCTTGCCATTTTTCCAAATATTGCCACCACCTATTTTTAGCGTCATTTTGTGTCTTCAATGAATCCAATTATTTCCCATTCATCACCAGTTCTTTACAACCAAGTTTTGTTGCTTAAATCCCGTGAAATCCCACTGAATCCCAACGAAATCCCATGCTCAATCCCATTACAAATCCAACCTTCACTGTCAATCAACATTTTGTTGTACACCATTTTTTTTCGATGCCATTCTGAAATTTGGATCCTGAAAAATCCCATTACAACTCCCAGTCTCAATCCCATTAGATTTCCATTAGATTCCCCCTTACATCCCATGATCAATGGATCAATCCCATTCCAAATCCCCATTCCAAATCCCCATGAAATCCCCATGAAATCCCCATGAAATCTGACATTCCCGAGCAAAAACCTCCGTCGGTTTCAGGCGGCCTGGCCCTCAGCGGCGCAGCTGGCGCTGCGCACCCAGCAGCTGCGCGACATCATGAAGCTCTCGGCCCTGGAGACTCAGGCGCCACCGCAACCGCCACGGCCTAACCAGGAGCTGCAACGGGTGGGGTGGGTGGGGAAATGTTGGGTAAATGATGGAAAAATGGGCAATTTTGTCAGTTAATTACATGGTAAATACTTATGATTAAATGACTGTGAAATGAGGTTTTTCAATGATTTAAGTGTCGAACGAAGATTTGACATGGTTGATATATGGCCAATATTTGGGTGATAAATGCCTACTAAGGTTTACTATATGGGCCATTATATGAGATAATCACTTCTCCCGATAATATTAAACACCCCATTGAATGAATGGGATTGATTCATGAATTTTGGGCCTGGTTAAGGGGGTAATGCGTTAGGGGATGGGGTTAATTGTCACTTCCATGCACAAGAATACTCCAAACGTAATGTATCAAACCACATGATGAAATGCTAACCATGTTTCTTTAATACATATCATGAATCGTTCTTTTGGAAGGTTTATGAAAAGAAAGAAACAAGCTATAGTTTATCATGGATTTACCACATCATTAGGAGCTCTCAAATGCGCAGACATGCTTTTCGGGGGTACTTTAGTGACCAACAAACATGAGAGTGCCACGATAGTGAGCAGTATGATCCCTAACTTGTTGATAAACATGGTTAGTTGGTCCTCATTTCCTCCCGTTCCCCCATATGATATGAATGTATATCTCTATATATATATATTATATATGTATATATGGAAATCGATCTAAAAGTCCATGTAGATACTGTAGAGATTGTTGATTGCAAAGGCCGCCAGTGTTACAACATTGGACCCCGCGTTTTTTTTTTCTGAGTTCGCAAAAGTAAATTTTTATTTGGCGAAAGTCTATTTTGATGAGGTGTTTTACCATATTTTTTTTTATAGGTGAAGGGAGAACCTTCTGAATTGTGAATGGCAGGGATACACTAGACCCACATACTACTTGCAATCAAGTGGAGCTGCGAACCCCCAAGCACAATTCAGGTTGTGGATTTCTTGGTTGATTTGCATAGGATTTTTCGCGAAAGTTCCGCAGCCCACTCAGCACCTTTGGAGCGTCAAGGGAACCTGGAAACAAAGTTTGTTGTTTCCTGGTGGAATCCCAACATGGCCTTGTATTTGCCGGCTGTCTCCCAGATCACTCACACAGTTGCCGTTCACATGCAGTTTGAGCGCGTCTAAGTAGCAAAAAGATGGAGAACAATAACTCCGCGAAAGAAAAACGTAGAGTTGCGAAAGATTCGCGAACACTTTTTTTATTCGCGAAGAATGGCCGTCTGCAGATGAAAGAATTCAGATCAACCACCATATGTATGTATCATCTACTCGCAGTACATATGTACCCTATGTAAATGTAATTTTTGAATGTAATGTAATGCAATGGAACGCCATGCAATGTACCCTCTGGTAATTTAACATAGCTATTGAACATGGCCATAGAATTAGTGAGTTTTCCCATTAAACATGGTGGATCTTCCCATAGTTATGTAAACGTTTACCAGAGGGTAATCTATACATGTATAACATAACATAACTATACATACATAAAAATGGTGATTTCCCATAGTTATCCCATAGTAATCATGTATGTATACTAATGTATACCTTTATAGATTACAACCCCTGGTAGTTCCGAACCAGTCCCTGCTTGGGATGTCCAATGGAAATTGGATCGATCAGCACGGCATGGAAATCGCTGGTAGTTCAGGCCTGACCTTGTGGCCAAGTCAGAGATATTGAAGATGGGATGCATTGAAAAAGACCTGAAAAAGTGAGATTGGAAAATTCAAATGATTCCCTAATATCATATTATCCCCATATATCCCCATCATATCTCCAACGTTTCCCTTGTAATGTGGTAAAACATAAAATAAACAATCCCCCAGTCATCACCGTAAATAATAGGCGATATGTTTACCATTCCCAGTCATGGGTGGTAACCATGACATTGTTTTACCCACATTATTCCAATTATTAACCATTATATATTAACCGTTATTCCAATTATTAGCCATTATATATTAACCATTATTCCAATTATTAACCATTATTAACCGTTATTAACCATTATTAACCATTATTAACCATGATCATATATTACATATCCCCATCCAAGGGTTCCCTTGATCTCCATGAAAATCGGTACCGATCTGCAGGAGCACCTGGCCAAGTTGGCCAAAGACTGCGCCCGATTGGTGGCCTGGACTTCTAAGGCTCCGGACTTCACGGCGGAGCCCTCAGTCGCTTGGTCGGTGCGTAAATGGCGGGGATTTCACCCGGAATGCGGAGAAAAACCGATGGAAAAACTCGCAAAATTTGGGGGATTCGACCGACTTGGAGGGATAAAAACTCTGGTTATTTCACAGAAAATGACCCATTTTTAATAGGTATATCATCGGACTAAATGGGCCATGCTCAATAGCTATGAAATTCCCAGAGGGTTTTTGGGGCATGGGTTCGGGGAATTTCATCGGGGTATATCCTTCCAGCTATGGAACTTTGATGGGGAAAAGAATGAGAATTGATTTTTGTGAATTTTGGGGATATCTTATTTTCACAGACAACCCACAATAATATATATATATATGTTTATTTGTACCAATTTATTTAAACCATATATTAATGTTTATTGGGACAACCCCATAGGTCTCAAAAATGTTTTTTTTTCAACGCTGAGCCACAGGTTTCGCCACGGGTTTCCATCGCAGGTTTCCACTGAGCCACCCATTGAGGAGGTCAGCATCATAGCCCATGATGAAGGCGCCGGGGCGGTCGCAAAGGTCAGTGATATGACCCCAACCCAAAGCAGAACAACTGGAGTTTCTCCATGTGTCTCCATAAGATTTCAAACATCTTGACTCCGAGTCGGATTTTTGTTCAGGATCCTTCTGAATGATTCATGTTGAAATATATTGAATCAATCATTGTCCTTTCCACGTTTTTTTGGTACTCAGCTGGCTTCGGATGGAGTTTTTGGATCCAAAAAACCTGAGTTGACTGTGACCTCTATGTCTGTGATTCTGGTGGAATTAAACCAACCATCTGATTGGCTGATTGTGATATTTTTTTTGGATATAATATGAATGGGATTGGTTGGTTCATATTTTTTTTGAGGGGGATACGGGCTACTATCTAATACCATTAATATCTAATCACAACCATTAATGAAATTAGTATTGATGAGATATACAACCAATATTATATATATATGTGGGTTTGTCTGACAATGTCTGAAAATGGGGCATTTACCCCAATTTGCAGGCCACTGCGGGGTACCGTCTTGAGACAAACCAGATTGCTGCATCACTATTCTGGATATTCGTATCCCATTGGATATCCCATTAATATTAATATCCAGATGATATGTCAATTTCATATTACATACTACAATATATCCCATTAATATCCCATTACTATCCCATTACTATCCCATTCCCTATTTTATTCTGTATCACTATTTCATTGAGACAAACCAGATTACTGTATCATCATTTCTATTACTTAATATATGATATATATATATATGATATATATGATATATATATGATATATGATGGCCATTGGATAATTCTGGACGATTTGAGCCTTGGACATAGCAGCCATGGCAATCACTGGCGGAAAATCCCTGCCATGGTGTTCCCAAGGCTCCCCACAGCGTGCCGCGCTGGCACGCCGGAAGCTGGCAGAAGAAGAGGTGGGAAGAATCAACTGAACTAAGAATGGCCGTCCAAGTAGGAACATGTTCTCTTCCGAACTACAATTTTTGTATGTAGATAAGGTTTTGGGTTTCCATCTAAAATTGTCAGATGTTTGCGATCAAATGTGAGGTTCCGTCTCATGTTTAGAGATAGAATGTTTGGTTCCATCTCATATTTCAGCTTTGTTTACTGTAGAAGGGTGGCTTCAGATGTCTTCAGAATTGGTTGACGGGAACATTTACCCCTATGTTTTGCAAAAACATGATGTTTCCTGTAGGTTTTCCCTCAAATCAGCCCATTGAATGTCATCTTAGTTGCCGAAATACACGACATAAATTGATGCTTCAGCGAAGCGTAATCCGATGTTTTTAGCTGTATTTATCCCATGACACATCCCCATATTACATCCGATTACATCCCCATATGTCCATATGTGCAATAATGAAAAACATGGATTTTGACTGACTTCGTCGTGGGTTGCTGATCTATACATGAGCTTGTCTGAACATAGAGGGGTGAAATCACCCCTCAATCAATCCACTGATTGATACTATTATCATGTTTCATATGTTTCCCATGAAAACTGGCCCCAACCTGGGTTCTACCCCATTCTCCACACCCAAATATCAAGTTGCTTATCCCCATCGTATCCCAATCTGATGATGCAGTTTCACTGCTAAGTGGCGAAGATAGATGGTGTAAAAGGGGGCCCCACATCACAACTTATGGAGGTTCGAATCCCCATTTTTCATAAGCCATACCCCAATCCGTTACCCAAAAAAACAACCTCCATAGAGTTTTGGATATTTTGGATTCTAACCTCCATTCATAACAGGAGTTACCCTCTGGTAAACTAACCTAGCTATTGGAAATGGCCATTTATAGTGGATTTTCCCATTAAAATGGTGATTTTCCATAGTTATGTTAGTTTACCAGAGGGTATCCCATTAAGTGGGTAAACATGACCCCCGTATCCCGACCGAAGACATCGTCGCTTCAGGTACATCGTCTCGAAGCCTTGTGGTCGCTAAAGGCTCAGTTGGAGGCCACCAGACAGGCGGGATGGCATCCAACGACCTGTGCAGTTGAGCTTATGACAATATGATCATGGCCTTTGTTGCCCCCATAAGTTGAAATATCACCAACATAAGTTGAGATATATAATGTATAAACCAAAAATTGATATGATAAGTGCAATGCTATGATGATATGATTACATTATATATATATGTATGCACATGATTATACGATGCACAACTATAACTCATTATAATGCTATATGATATTTACATGATTGTATACATTATTTTATGTATAGAATGATATCAATATATCGGCATATGTAGATCCTATTTAGATGATTGATACAGATTGAAACATATCTATGTAGCAATGTATCGCCCACTACCTTCCAGTAGCCATACAATGTGCTTTGACGTCACAACATGCGCAAAGGTTTGGGATTCGCTGGGCTATTTGGCCATTTTGATTGCGTTGCGGTGCGGTGCAGTATGTCACATTGCGTTGCCTTGAAATGTGGGATTACATTGCATTAGAGCACACTACAGCACGTTATGTTGCGACGCTGTACACTGTACACTGTGCTTGTAGTGCCTTACATGGAATTTAATTGCATTTTAATATATATATATATATACACACACACGCAAATACACTGAGTGCACGGCATACACACACTTGAAAGACCGTATCTCGTCTATGAGTCTTTTCATTCCCGACAGGGTATACCTGAACTGATTCTGCTGTTTACATGCTTAGTTCAGGAAGGCCGTCTTTGTCCACATTGGACAAAAGTCGCAGAAATGGGTAAATACTGAAAAATGCGTAACGGACTCCGATTTCTCGAATTATTCATGCATATGACAAAAGAATAACCGGAAAGTCATCAAAAAGCTTGGATAATGAAAGAACATCGTGACCAACTGCAGGTACGTCAGGGTGATCAGCCCTGATATCCCATCCAAGACCGTAGCTTCGTTGCACACGGTGGGTCAAGGATGCTGTGTGCCCCTGCTTGTAGATTGGGAACTGTAACTAGAAATTGGACATGTGATAAAAGCCCTTCGGAACAGGGGTTGCCCCCACACACAAAGGCCGTATGTCGCGAAAATATATATCATCCGTTGCTTTCAGCAACGGTGATTTTGAAAAAACTGTTCCCGCGAACTTCAAAATGATTCCATGGCGAAAGTCTGAGAAACGAATCAGGAAGGCATTACAAAAATGAGCCCACATAGAGGCAAGAAATGTAGTGACAAAAATGCAATGACAAAAATGCGCGTCCATGAAGATATCGGGGCGAAACGGACAGCAACAATACTTACTTGCGCTGGTTGAGCGCTTGATCGACGTCAGGTTGGGAAAAACCTTTCTGTACATATAAGGCGCCCAGCTGCGTCAAGCTACTGGAAATCAAACTGGTCGGATACGTGTATTTTCGAATTAAATGAGCCCGGCTTTTCAATCCACTCATTCTGAGTCGGAGTGACCCCTGCCTGTAAATTGGGAACTGAAACTAAAAATTGGACATGTGATGAAAGCCCTTCGGAACAGGGGTTGCCCCCACACACAAAGGCCGTATGTCGCCAAAACATAGCATCCGTTGCTTTCAGCAACGGTGATCTTGAAAAAACTGGTCCCGCAAACTCCAAAGTGATTTCATGGCGAAAGTCTGAGAGGCGAATCAGGAAGGCATTGCAAAAAAGAGAGCCCACATAGAGGCAAGAAATGTATTGACAAAAATGCAGGTCCATGAAGATATCAAACTGGTCGGATACGTGTATTTTTGAATTAAATGAGCCCGGCTTTTCAATCCCCTCATTCTGAGTCGGAGTGATCCCGCAGAGACGCAATCTCTAATCTGACAAATGCAGGTTGAAGATATTCAACAGTGCGTCTTTCAACGTATTATTTGAATTAGATGAGCCCGGGTTTTTGAGTCCACTCATTCTGAGACGGGCAGATCCCGCGGATACACAATCTCGAATTTGGTGCACATCGGGTACTGACTCAGGGTCAGAAAACACAAGTGCAGGCAAAAAGCGACAGGTTCACAGGTGGTCAAAAAACCTCGGATACCGGGTGACCCCCCACTTGAAAGCCTTTTTGTCGCAAACAATCATCGTAACGTGGTGTTTCATCTGGTTGAAAAATACGGTAAGTGGAGAAAACGTCGGATCGATTAAAACTTTTCTGTACATATGCTAATGCGAAAAGGCTGTGATTAAAAATCCGGTGGAGACTTGGACTATGAAAAAATGCGAAACAAGCTTGCACAACGAGGAAAAAGGCAGGGCCAGACACTCAATGTGTGAGAGGCAGGATGAGAACGCAATGAAAAACAAGTTCCAGTTCAACTGGACTGCCACTTAAGTCCAAGTCTGTAAAGACTTGAGAAACGGAGGTCCGAAGGTGGTCTCTGCTGTACAATGAGAAACCTATTGTCGAATTATCAACGTATCTGACTACAAGATGATCGAAACAAGGTTGAGTCAAAATTTGAAACGTACTGCTCCACGACCGTTCGTTGTGGTCATGGACAAATTCGACAGTGTCAAAGATGTCTGACTTCCGACTCCTGCACTTCTAGTCTGACGCAAAATCCAAATCAGTGCGGAACAAGCTTGCATAATGGAGAAATCGCAATGGCGAGACATGTTAATGTCTGAAGATGGAAATCCTGTCTGTACATACAGCGGTGCTAATTCATGCAAAAAGTTCGGGCTTGTGACTACGAGTATTGAATTAAATGATCACGACTTTTGAGCCCGATGCACCATGAGAATGCAAGGAAAACAAGTTCCAGTTCAACTGGACTGCCACTAAAATCCAAGTCTGTAAAGACTTGAGAAACGGAGGTCTGAAGGTGGTCTCTGCTGTACAATGAGAAACCTATCGTCGACGTATCGACGCAGCTGACTACAAGATGTTCGAAACAAGGTTGAATCAAAATTTCGAAACGTACTGCTCCACGATCGTTCATTGTGGTCACGGCCAAATACGACAGTGTCAAAGAGGTCTAACTTCCGAGTCCTGCACTTCTAATCTGACGGAAATTCAAATCAGTGCGTAACTAGCTTTCAAAATGGAGAAATGGCAAGGGCCAGGCACTGTCAATGTCTGAAGATGGAAATCCTGTCTGTATATACAGCGGTGCTAATTCATGTAAAGAAGTTCGGGCTTGTGACTACGAGTATTGAATTAAATGAGCACGACTTTTGAGCCCGATGCACAGTGAGAATGCAATGAAAACAAGTTCCAGTTCAACTGGACTGCCACTAAAGTCCAAGTCTGTAAAGACTTGACAAGCGGAGGTCTGAAGGTGCTCTTTTCTGTGCAATGAGAAACTTATTGTCGACGTATCAATGTATCTGACTACACTACACGATGATCAAAACAAGGTTGAAACATGTTGGTTTTGAAAGGTACTGCTACACGATTGCTCAATGTGGCCACTGCCAAATTTGACAGTGTCAAAGATGTCTGACTTCCGATTCTTCCACTTCGGATCTGACGCCAAAACGTTTCGGCAGGCTTTGCCACATGAGTGTGAAACAAGCTTGTATAATAGGGAAAAGTCAAACGTTTCTGCAGGCTTTGCCACATGAATGTGAAACAAGCTTGTAAAAGTAGGAAATGGCAGGGCCAAACACTGTCAATGTCTGAAGAATGAATTCTTGTCTGTACACACAGCTGCGCTAACTCATGCAAAGAAGTTCGGGTTTGTGACTACGAGTATTGAATTAAATGAGCATGGCTTTTTGAACCCGCTCAAACCAAGACGGAAGGTTCCGGCGGATACATTGTCCCAAATCTGATGCCTGGCAGTGTGGACATCAGTGTTTGTTCAAGAATTGCAACAAATAAAACTCCAAGTCTGTAAAGAATTGAAATTCTTCTCAAGAAATCTAACGCAAAATCCAAATCAGTGCGGAACATGCTTGCACAATGGAGAAATCGCAATGGCGAGACATGTCAATGTCTGAAGATGGAAATCCTGTCTGTACATGCAGCGGTGCTAATTCATGCAAAAAGTTCGGGTTTGTGACTACGAGTATTGAATTAAATGAGCACGACTTTTGAGCCCGATGCACCATGAGAATGCAAGGAAAACAAGTTCCAGTTCAACTGGACTGCCACTAAAATCCAAGTCTGTATAAAGACTTGAGAAACGGAGGTCTGAAGGTGGTCTCTGCTGTACAATGAGAAACCTATTGTCGACGTATCGACGCAGCTGACTACAAGATGTTCGAAACAAGGTTGAATCAAAATTTCGAAACGTACTGCTCCACGATCGTTCATTGTGGTCACTGCCAAATACGACAGTGTCAAAGAGGTCTAACTTCCGAGTCCTGCACTTCTAGTCTGACGGAAATTCAAATCAGTGCGTAATTAGCTTTCAAAATGGAGAAATGGCAGGGCCATACACTGTCAATGTCTGAAGAATGAATTCTTGTTTGTACATACAGCGGTGCTAATTCATGCAAAGAAGTTCGGGCTTGTGACTACGAGTATTGAATTAAATGAGCACGACTTTTGAGCCCGATGCACCATGAGAATGCAAGGAAAACAAGTTCCAGTTCAACTGGACTGCCACTAAAATCCAAGTCTGTATAAAGACTTGAGAAGCGGAGGTCTGAAGGTGGTCTCTGCTGTACAATGAGAAACCTATTGTCGACGTATCGACGCAGCTGACTACAAGATGTTCGAAACAAGGTTGAATCAAAATTTCGAAACGTACTGCTCCACGATCGTTCATTGTGGTCACTGCCAAATACGACAGTGTCAAAGAGGTCTAACTTCCGAGTCCTGCACTTCTAGTCTGACGGAAATTCAAATCAGTGCGTAATTAGCTTTCAAAATGGAGAAATGGCAGGGCCATACACTGTCAATGTCTGAAGAATGAATTCTTGTTTGTACATACAGCGGTGCTAATTCATGCAAAGACGTTGGGATTGGTGACTACGGGTACATGTGTTGAATTAAATGAGCACGACTTTTGAGCCTGCTCAAGAAAATCGGTCGAAGTGATGATCTGAGCCATTATGGCATTCAGTCCAATGTCAAGTTTAATTCAATATCGAATGAAAAATCAAGCTGAATGAAATTCAAAAAACCTGACCGGAGCTTGGGTATCCGATCGCCAAGCAATGCCTGTCAAATAGTGACAGTGGGTGTTCATCACCCACATGCGGCCACGTTTGTGATGCACGCATCCTTGCGAATTCGGGCCACGGGTGAGGTCAATGCACTCACCCTCTCCTCCATTGTGCACAGTTTTGCCTGTGCCCCAGGCTAGGCCCACAAATATGGCACCGCATTCGTTCTTGCTGAGATTCGTCCCATTGTGCAAGATACGACCTAATTCGTGCGCCTCCAACGAGGTGCATCCTACTTTAAATCCCTGAGCAAAGAAACTTTCACTTTCCGCAAAGTGGAGTTTGCTAGGTGCCAGCTTACCTTTTTTGAGAATGGCAATAAAATTACCAAGTTTTGTGGCATGCGTGAAGGCCAGATGGATGATTTCATCGAGGCCTCGGTCTGGTGCCGCCCGTGACCTTGGTGTCGGTGGCATCCCCGTTGGAAGGTTGGCTCTATCATGCAAAATTGAGATCGGCAAAAGGTAAAAATGCTCCATTGGAGCCGGTTGGTCAGATCCCTGATTCCATCCGAAATAGCTGGGATCGTACGTGGCCATTCTCATGGGTCCCAAATCTTGTGACAAAATGTCAGCCTGTGCCAGTAGCTTGGCTACATTTTGCAAAAAGGCTTCAGAAGTGGGATGCTCCTTGACTTGTTGGTTCAAAAGGATTTCAAACAAGGAATACTCATGATCATTTTAGCTGGACATGGCCTGACGGCGTGCTCGGAATCGAAAAACTACTGGAAAACACATTAAAAGGAGCACTGCCTAAAGGCGCGCTCAAAGATGCATTCGGAGCACTACGAACGGTCTGTTGCACCACCGGACGGGGTGGTGGTGGCGGCGGTGGAGGTCTTTCTTGAAAATGGCCGCTGTGACCGTAAATATCAAATACTCCTAGTGAAGTTTCCCAATCCCCTGGTGGGTATGTATGATGGGCTTGCGTAGAGAGCAAGCCTCTGATCGAACTTCATTGACACTAGGTCCTGGGGACCGAGATCGTGCACGGCTATCGGATCTAGATCTCGTTTGACGAGGTCTACGGGATCAAGAAGATCTCGAGGATCTCAGTGGTGGACGTTGTAAAGGTGCCAAACTTCTCGGTGCAGCTGGCGGTCTACCGATTTTCTGTACACCTTCAAGGACTACAGACATTGGTCCCGGTGGTCTTCTAGGAGGGTCGAAACTTGCAGTACCATCAGTAATTGGCAGCGGAGGTCTGACCTCACTCTTGGGTCTCAACGTCGGAACCACGGCAGCCGGTGCGCGAGGCGGTGGTGCTTTAGCCGCCTGACGGCTGTGGTCCCCTGCAATTAAAAAACACATTGTATGACATGGCTGCAACTCTACGTGTCGAAAATGGAAAATGGAAAATGGAAAACCATGACAACATACAATTAGAAAAGGTCAACTGTACAAGTATCAACGTGTGATACGTTTTCAGTGATTGGCTTCATGAATGAACGTGAAAAACATGTCGGTTGAGCCAGGATGTCTGTACAGAAACTGAAAGCTGAAGTACCGTGAAAACACTGCATCGAAACTCTCACTGATCCGTCCTACGAGTAAGTCTAAATGTTGTATTGCTGTTTCTTCTACTTTGTTCTTTTGGCGACTCATAGTTGTTTCAGAGGAGGGCCCGAAAGCCTTTGTTCAGGAATAACCCCGAATGTTCAGAGTGAATCAGAGTAATTCAGAGGCACAAAGTGCAATCAGAGATTTTCAGAGATTTTTCAGAGATTCTTCAACGCCTGAGAAAACATGCACGACAATTTCCATGGAGATCTTCGATCTCCGTTGGAAAGTGGAACTCCGTAACACGAATTACTCATCTCGAGGGGACGGAAGGGAAAATTAGTCCCAAATCATATCGGATACGGTTCAAAGAAATACCGATGGCTACGATTCATGGTCAAGACGACCCAGTGGTATTGCCTTGTTGTTTTTCTCTGGACAAGGACCAGACATACCCCCAGTTTTTGGTGGTGAAAAAGTTGAGGGCCGAAGCCAAATCAGAGGGATGCTGTTCACACGCCGGCAGTTACCGGATCACGACAGGACCATGACGGAATCTCTGCCGAATACACACTTGAAAGACCGTATCTCGTCTATGAGTCTTTTCATTCCCGACAGGGTATACCTGAACTGATTCTGCTGTTTACATGCTTAGTTCAGGAAGGCCGTCTTTGTCCACATTGGACAAAAGTCGCAGAAATGGGTAAATACTGAAAAATGCGTAACGGACTCCGATTTCTCAAATTATTCATGCATATGACAAAAGAATAACCGGAAAGTCATCAAAAAGCTTGGATAATGAAAGAACATCGTGACCAACTGCAGGTACGTCAGGGTGATCAGCCCTGATATCCCATCCAAGACCGTAGCTTCGTTGCACACGGTGGGTCAAGGATGCCGTGTGCCCCTGCTTGTAGATTGGGAACTGTAACTAGAAATTGGACATGTGATAAAAGCCCTTCGGAACAGGGGTTGCCCCCACACACACACACACAAGCACACACACAAGCACACACACACACACACGCACACATAGTATGCGCTCAGTGCAAGATCGCTCTGTGAATGACGTCCCAAGTCTTACAGAGCAGATCCAAGCTCAAAGGTCCAAATTTCTCCAGGGAACTTTGCCAGAAAGCTTCGCCAGAAAACTTTGTTCCTGCATCTAACAGGCAAGAAATCCTAACACACTGGGAATCTTTGATCGAAAACCTCCGAGCCACGCCACTTTCTTTGGCAAGGGTGGTGCCTTGCCTGTCCGGCCAGCCTTGGACCCGGTGCTTCGCTTGCAGTTGGAACCAGTCCCGCTATCTCCAGATGCTGAGACTGTCAACCCGCCAAGGCAACTTTGAAATCTGCAGCGGAGCCTTCAACAAGAGGGCACCCTGCTGAACTGCCGCGGTCCTCCCAATCAGAGAAGCCAGAGAAGCAAGAGAATGCAGAAGACGCTAAAGAGACTTTGCATGGAAGCTGCTTACGTTTTGTAGTCGCTCAACCAAGTACCTTGTGGCTTGTGGTTCGACTATGTTCGACTCATACTGGTACCCCGTACCCTTGTAGTGGTTGAAGTCTTACAGTGTTGATGTCAACTCTTTCTCAAGCGACGAGTCATTTGATAGCGAGACAGGTTGCAAGTTGTAATGTGTTATTCCTGTTTCTGTTTTATCCACCCATCAGCAAAGGAGACCTTGGAACCGCCAACGGAGCCTTCAACAAGAGGGCACCCTGCTGAACTGCCGCGGTCCTCCCAATCAGAGAAACCAGAGAAGCAAGAGAATGCAGAAGACGCTAAAGAGACTTTGCATGGAAGCTGCTTACGTTTTGTAGTCGCTCAACCAAGTACCTTGTGGCTTGTGGTTCGACTATGTTCGACTCATACTGGTACCCCGTACCCTTGTAGTGGTTGAAGTCTTACAGTGTTGATGTCAACTCTTTTTCTCAAGCGACGAGTCATTTGATAGCGAGACAGGTTGCAAGTTGTAATGTGTTATTCCTGTTTCTGTTTTGTCCACTCAGCAAAGGAGACCTTGGAACCGCCAACGGAGCCTTCAACAAGAGGGCACCCTGCTGAACTGCCGCGGTCCTCCCAATCAGAGAAGCCAGAGAAGCAAGAGAATGCAGAAGACGCTAAAGAGACTTTGCAGGGAAGCTGCTTACGTTTTGTAGTCGCTCAACCAAGTACCTTGTGGCTTGTGGTTCGACTATGTTCGACTCATACTGGTACCTCGTACCCTTGTAGTGGTTGAAGTTTTACAGTGTTGGTGACAACTCTTTCTCAAGCGACGAGTCATTTGATAGCGAGACAGGTTGCAAGTTGTAATGTGTTATTCCTGTTTCTGTTTTGTCCACCCATCAGCAAAGGAGACCTTGGAACCGCCAACGGAGCCTTCAACAAGAGGGCACCCTGAACTGCCGCGTTCTTCACATGTGAAGCGAGAAATTGGGGACGCCAAGGCCAGGTTGGCAATGGGAGCGGGCAGAAACCGATAGATGGTGATGATTCACCGATGGTTTTCCCCTAATTTTTCAGACGCAGCCATTTTTCATTGTACGCCGCTATGTCTTGAGTATAAGGACCTGCTTTTGTCAAGGTTTACCCTCCAACGTTTACATAGATGTGGAAAACCCATCATTTGCCGATTATTTCCTAGGGAAACCATGGGTTTCCACATCTATGTAAACGTTTTCATTACCCTAGTGACTCGTTTCGTGTCTTTTCTACCGAGGATTAGTTTCACCTTTGATTCTTCTCTAAGGATAATTGGATATATATATAATTATATATATATATTATATATATTATATATATATACGGTAACGACATTTAAATATGTGGAGGGCAGGCCAGACCGCGAGGCCACGGAGCTAATATGAAATACCAGTTCGTATATTTAAATGTAGTTACGGTATGTTTAAATGAATTGGATTCCGTATGTTTAAATGGCTGGACGGGCCAAGGAAAACCTTCCCGGAGGTAGTCTAAAATACCTGTTCGTATATTTAAATGTAATTACCGTATATAATTGGTAATTAATAAGATCCTCCGAAATCGTGAACTTTATTTGGTATGACTATTGTATGACTCCTATAGATTCCTATAGGCTATAGGTTTCGACCCGTCCCGTCCTGTGGCTGAGACACTCTTCAAAGCATCCGTTTCAGGGAGCCTCTAAGACTGGAACGGAGTCTTTCTATCGTTACGAGAGCATGACGAAATAGGGGCCCCAAATTTCCACGTAAAATAGGCATTTTTTTGATAGTTTATGTTGTTCATGTTAATAGTCTTAAGGTTTTATGTTTCTTTTGTATTTCATTTTATTTGCTTTGTTTCTGCTACAGTACTCTTCAACTATTAGCTGCTATTTAGCTCTTATTGCATTTGATTCTATAAATTGCATATAGAACAGGATAGTAGAGGTGGAGTTGTGACCCCAATCCTCCATACAGATTATTGATTCTGTAAAATGCATTAATAGAACACCTTTTTCGTAGGGCTAGAGTTGTGATCCAAGTCCTCCATATAGATTTTGATTATGTAAAGTGTGTATATATATATATATACACATATGGAACAGTATAGTAGGGCTACTGTCTTAGTATTCTAAATTCTTTCTTTCTGGGGATCTCCTTGGGGATCTCTACTGATCTCTATGGGAATCTCCAGGGATGTCCAGGGATCCATGAGAGACTATGTCTACATAGATCTCCGGAGATCTCTGGGAATCTATGGAGATTTGTTAGGAATCACCTCAGAGAAAAAAAAGAAGAAAAGAAGAATTAATGACCTTTGTCACTACAAATCTTAACAAACAATTCACAATGCTATGCTCAAATGGTTTGCAGTGTGTGTGTGTGTAAGATTCTAAATGTTCATCTTTCAATGATACAAAGGAACGTATTCAAGGTCTATAAAAAATAGATGATCAAATATGATATACGTCAGAACCACGGCATTTTCAGACACGTGGCAAAATGGGACCCCTTTGGACCCCGCGAAATCGTCCGAGGCCAAAAGGGCCGCGCGGAGGCGGCCACAACAGGCCGCTTCTCGAGGGCAGGGTATACTGTTGATTTCTGGTACTAAAGGCCATGGGTCGTTTTTTTTCAAATGTCAATGGGATATGATTTTCTTTAGGTAGTTACCTGGGGATCGAACAGATGATTGCTATGATTGCTGGGATCGTGTGGATGAAACATGATGAAACCATGAACTTGTTGGGCATGAAACCAGCAGAAATGAAAGAAGCCACCAACAATGGGGATTTGGACATTGTACAACATTGAATTTGGAAGAGGATGACACACTGCTTACACCTGCACACACACATTTGTATAAATACGAAGCTATAGCAGCTACCAGTAGTGACTATTGCTCTATTTACGTAAATATCTAGACAGCTGATTCAGCTGATTACATAGACTATGAATGACCATCTTTCTTTTTTCATAGCTGGGGTGCAGTTCCGGTTGTAAGTGAGATATCTAACCATAGGATCAGGTCGTTACAGGATGGTTTTCCAAATGGGGGATGGAATGATGAGAATTCCCAACATTATGGAGCGATCCTGGAATCCCATGGCTATCCCCATGGTTATAAACCCAACTGAAGCCCCAACCTTCTGTATACACAGACTAGTTACTAGTTCATATTCATATATATATATATATATATATTCATACTAATACAATCATAGATCATCATAGTATAAGTATCATACTAATAATATCTAATAATCATAATAGGTATCATGAGTCATTACTACGGACTAATGTCAATACCAATCACCGAGATTTGGATTCAATCAGGGCCTGGCCTCCTCTTAAGGCGGCCTTTGTTCCAGCCCACTTCAAGGCTTTGCCCACGGAGTCCAAGCAGGTGGGGAACATGGAACAAGGGATCCCATGCTATCCCCATGGTTATCCCCAAAGACTGGCCATTTTCCTGGGATTCCAACCATCCATATGGGTGGTTTATTGTTCAAAAACAAGAATAAACATATCATAAATACGGACTGGCTGCCTTTTTTTTCAATATTGTTCATTGCTCAAGAAACAAGCAGCCCCTATTGAAAAGCGACGAAGAAGTCCCAGGAGCCTCAAGCGGAGCCGCAAGCGGAGTCGCAAGCGCCCAAGGAGCCAAAGGCTGCACCCAAGCGGAAAGCCAAGGCGGGACCAAATGAACATGTGCCAGGAGGTTATACAATGTTATTCAGATGATTGCTGATGGTTATACAGATGATTATAGGTATTTCCAGCTTCACCTGACTTTTCTATCTATTTTGGGGTTGATCAATTTCATTGGAAGAGTCATGGTTTTGTTGTTTGATGTTCCCAACGAAAACCAAAAAAAACAATTGTTACCTTGGAAAGTGGTGAATGTGCTTTGTTTTGCTTAATCATTTCGTGGGGACGGGGGCTCATGTCTAGCAACCATTAAATTTCGGTAGCCATACCTCAGTTCATGTCTGGGTATGCAATCATTGATCTTTGAGCATCCTTAATGATGGAATATTTGATCTCCGCACTTTCGCTTGAGAAAGAGGTGTTTGAGGTAAGCCGTGCGAAGAGTGACTGGGATATTCTTGTAGTCTTTTTTTTTAACCATTCCAACCTTTCCAACATTGGAAACAGTCTCAATCGCAACATGCTTAGGAAACTATTGGAATATTTCAATCTATTTCGCATTCAAGGTTGCTATTCAGTTTCATATATTTCATCATTAAGTTCCAGAGGGATCTCACATGGATATCAAACTCATATAAATCAACTTATTCGGATCTCCCCTGCTATTCAAGCGTCAAGAAACTATTTGTGATAAGGTGGCTCTTCATGTGGAGGTTTCCCAAAGTAGGGGTACCCCAGTCATCATCCAAAAAAATGGATGACCATTTTCATATGGCTTTTCACCGAAAGCCATGGTGACTTGGGGACATTTGGGGACCCCCATGACTTAGGAAACCTCCACTCAAATGGGTTTCAATGATAAAATGCTACTATTTTAACCATAACATTGGACTGGCCAGGATTCAAGCATATATATACAATGATTATGGATAAGATACAATATGATAAAATTATATGACTATATTTATAGAATAATGTGATATATTGTTGTCAATACATGTGAATATATATATATATACACATACAAGATGTACACTATATTATGAATAAGATGAAACGTACCCAGCTTGCTGCAGAGTTATCACCAAAATGTGGAACTAAAAACTATATATATATATATCAATCCCCCTTGCCCAAGGCTCATCATGTTCTGCAGGCCGCCAAAGATGTGAAGCCACCAAAGAGTACCATCGCAGGGGTTGGCGCCATGCATTTCCGCGTCTGAAAAAGGGGCGTCGTGCCTTCCAAACGTCCGCAGCTGCCACCAAACAGATTGCAATGATTTTGGAGCTGGAAGAATGCACAATTTGTTTTCCTGAACCTGAAAGTCATGTCAAACACATTTCTCTTGCTACTTGTGTGCAACTTGCCTGCTCAACGTAGAGCCGGAAGTTGAACATTGGAAGTTTTTTTGAGTCCCCCCAAAACCATTGATTTTCCCAGGAAACATGACGAAGAGCTTTTTATGATTTCCGGATGACCCCATTTTAGGAATCCCCAGCTATTTTCAAGAGGAAATTATGATAAACCATAGAACTTTGGGTACCTTATTTTCAGATAATAACATGAAACTCTCAGAACTTGCCATGTTGAGTGGTTGCGAGATCTAGCGCAGTCTCCCTTCCCCCTTGGCCCTGGAATTCCCAAAATTATTTGGGATTTCGTGGGCCTAAATCAAATGAATCGATGGGTCGAATGCTAAATCAACATCATTCAGGATTTTCATTGGGGATTATTTGACTACTACAGGAAATGGATTACCCTTGGATTACCCTAAAATCCTCCGTTTTTTTGGGGGGATCATCAGGTGGCGATCCTGCGGTCCATTGGGATGGTCCCAAGGAAAATTTGGATGAAACGTCAGAACTGAGACACATTCCCCATGACTGGTTGGTGGTTTCAAACATTTTTGATTTTCCATAATATATGGGACATATATATATATATATCCCCCAATTTCATAGAGACATGTCATTGTTCGGTTTTCGTGAGAGCACCATCCTTGGCGAATTGTTCCGGCCGTTTTTGGGTTCCGAGGACCACAGGATGGGCAGAAAGGCTTAGCTCAGCTACTGCCGGGGTCCATGGAGGGTTTGTGTCAAACGGGGGGATTGTCATTCAAATGACCATTAAAAGATTGGGGATAATGTCAACCCCGGATTAATAAACCATGGTTTATTAATTAGGGGGGTACTCCTCCATAGTCATAATCCAATACTTAAATGGTACCCCCCCAATTAACCAGCCTAGGGGTTTATTAATCCAGGGTTGACATTACGGTATTCTAAGGCATTGAACTGTCTTTTCAAGGAAGCAATTTTCAGATATTGAAAGAATGGGTCCCAAAAATCCGAACAGGGCCTGTACATTCAACAGGAAGTCCTGTTGGGATCCGAAGAAACGTACCGACCAGCAGTGCACCTCTTCGACCACCTCGGAACGGGGCATTGAGAAAAATCCGCCAAAAACCCTCCATCCTTACATGAAACGGATTCGAACATATTCGTCTTCACTTTCCATTTTTACTTTCCATTCAATTTCCATCCCACAAAATGGAAATGGGTTTGTCCACCCCATTTGCCCAATTTGATGATGTTTACGTCATCCCATTTATTGATGGTTTCGATGGCTATATTATGTTACATCCACATTTATCGTAGATAAATCCCTAATCATTCAGTACAGTATATCCATTCATATCCATTCCATCAAGATTAATTAATTAATCATCACTTACTGATGAATGATTATGGATTACATGCCCAATTTTCGATGGCTATCCATGCCAGTTGGGGAGCCGGGCTGAATCCCACCCGCTCTGAAAAAATCTGCTGCTTTTCCATGTGGTAATCGAAGATGGCTGGAAAATCCACGAAAATCCCACGAAAATCCCAGCGATTTATAGATTTTTTGGAGGTGACTTTTTTACAGCGAAAGAAAAACTTCATTTCTAGGGGATGCAGCCCAAGATGTTTGATTACCAGAGAGTTCTTGTCTTGATGCCAGAGGCCACTTGCCCCAGATTTTTGTTGATTTCCGAGGCTACGGTGGATGAAGGAAGGCGAGGATGCAGAGGATGCAGAGGATGCAGAGGATGGGATGGGAGATGCACAAGTCGGAGTCGTGGAATCGGGGAGGACTTGTGGTTGCCTGGTACTGTTGTGGGTTTATGGCTGGATCAGGGTCCCAGAATATCAGTAGATTTTTCTCCAGTTTTGCTAGTATCTCCATTAAAAATCAGTAGAACTTTCTCCATTTTTGCTGATGTTAACATATTTCCCTGGCAATGAGTCAATGAGTATGTCCATTAAAATGGGCAACGATTCTTCAGAACTCAACAAGCCACCCCAGCGAGGCAGTCTTTGTGGGGGATACCACAACTTGGTACCACATGATCACCCCAATGGGGCAAGCCCGGTCAAATCAATCAACGTTAAGCCCGGGCAAAGTTTATGAATCTGGGGTTCATCAGAAAGTGATGATTGGTTAATTAATCTTGATGGAATGGATATGAATGGATATACTGTGATATGGGTATGGGTCAAAATTAGGTACCCCAATAACTGGATGGTTAATACTAAACTAGACTAACATCTGTGGTCCCCTAGGTCTTCCATTTTGACCTACATCCATATACTGAATGATTAGGCATGACCAAGCCAAGCCAATGAAGATGAATGAAGCTCGATGAAGAATAATGGGTAGATGCACCGAACCAGAAGAAAAACATGAGGGTTGACCAACAGGAAGCAACATCAAGATGGGGATGTGAATCAAGAAACGCAGGAACAAAAGTATGTACCCTCCGGTAAACTAACATAGCTATCGAAAATCATCATGTTTAATAGGTAAATCAACTATAAACAGCAATTTTCAATAGCTATGTTAATTTACCGGCTAAAAGTAACTTGGGAATACAAAAAACGATATAACTAGCTACCGACATGGCAACACTTCGACATGGCCACCATTGGCCAACATGGTAATCCTAGGGCCTGGGTGATGTCCTAGTCTTGGTACTACTACAGTAGTGATATTCTTAAGTGATATTACTAGTATTATGGTGATAAGTATTGGGATATATTATGATACAATTGATACATCTACTGTCGTTATTACTATTATATATTAATTGGTAACATATTGGTAATGTGTAAATGTTTTGCCTTCCACATTGACACGGTTTGACTGACGGTTAAACCATGGGTAGCTGTCTCCATGACGATTCATGGTAGCTGTCTCCATTACCATTATGGTTAGTTGTCTCCAAGCTTCATTGCGATTATTGTTAGCTTTTATCATTTGTTCAACATATCCTACGTATGCAGGTTTCTACTTGCATATGGGGGTTTCCTAAAATAGGGGTACCCCAAAATGGATGATTTATAACGGAAAATCCTATTCAAATGGATGATTTGGGGTACCCCCATTTTAGGACACCTCCACCAATATATATATATATATATTTATACACATACGTACATACATATATTTACATATGTATATGTTTATATTGCATTGATAACCCAGCCCTGTTGCAGGATGACGGTTCTGACGCTGCAACAACTGTTGGTACCTGTGTGCAGGAAAGCGTTCTTATTGGGTGCCCATCAAAACGCTGTGATCTTTCGGGCAGATGCATGCCATTTTGAGTGCGACCCGAATCATTGGGTTGATTGTTTTGGGTAAAATTCACTATGACGTCACTTGAATGATGGTTCGTAGGGTAAACTATCCTAACATCGCCGAATTTTTCAGGTCAGTGAACTACTTCAGCCATATACCATGCATGATGAATGTTCACGGTGCTGGGGAATGTGTCATCTGATCTGATGTGATCTTATCGCTTGGAATGCTGACAGCATCACCCGAAACAGTATTTGTTGTTGCCACGGGATGATATCATTGGAAAACCCCGCGGGAATCCATGTTTCCTGAACGAACATTGGGTTTCGGAAGCCCTCTTCATCCAATTCACTGGGATCCAATGGCAGATACGATACGAGTCACGACTGAGACTGGGATGGGATCCATTTAGGATCCGACGACATCCATTTAGGATCCGTTAGGAGGGAGCGATTCGGAGATCCAGAGTTTCCCTATGCATGAGGATTTCAGATCCATTTTTTTTTCGATTTTTTCCCCCGAAGATGGTGGATGCACCCCCCACAAAGCATGGTGGATGTAAGGGGATAAATCCACATATTTGGGACCATAGAATGGGGGATTTTAATATTAGGGGGATTGGATTATACATACCCATTATACACCGATGATGAGTGGTATTCCCATTAAATCTATATTCCCATTGTATTCATATTATATTCCCATTATCATTCCATCCTCATCCAACTACAATACAGTAGTATATGAGAATCCCATTCCATGATTCTCACCTTAATCCAACTTTAGTTATTTGATATTTATTTGATAATTATTTGATAGCTAATCATTTAGTTACATCCCATCAAGTCTCATTCAATCACCATGAATGTTGGGTAAAACAATGTCAAAAACCAGCCAAATTTGGGAATACCTTAGTTATTTACCAAATATATTTATGGTGATGACTGGGGGGATGGTGCAGATGGCATTGTTTTACCCAAATTATCCCATATCTATCCATTCATACATCGAACCAGAATCATCCAGAATCCATAAATGTGATTATGTTTTAATCACCATTACCATTTTCCCTCCAATAAATTAACATAGACCCTGGCAGATAGGGATTGGAAGATTAGGTGCAACTAAACAATGGCTATTTTCAGGGTCAACAAGTTAAACAAGTTAATTTACCAGGGGGGCTTCACTTGGGATTCTCATCCCATGACTTGAGAGGCTCCACAGGATGGGCCGTATGCTGAAGATCTGGTGGATGCCGAGGTCGCCTGGCAGTCGCTGAGATCGCCGCGAACGCGTGGTTTTTCTTGGCACCTTTTGGGATAAAGACCCTGTGGGTGGAGTAGTACAGGGATTATATGGGATTATACCCAATATATTGGGGATCAAATTTCCATGAACTGGGAATTCCCACTAACCAGATCTAACCAGTATATACAATGGAATGACTCTTTGGCTTTTTGAGCACTGCTCAATCTGCTCACGTGATAAACACTTGATAAAAGCAAGGGTTTTGCAGTAGTTTTGGATGTCTCAAAGTTGGACTAGTGTGAACAACTATCAGGCTAGTTTTGTTTTTTGATATATATTTATATATTACATAATATATATTTATATACATAGTATA